TAGACACTCGACTTACATACTATTTTACTATTTTTTCAGAATTTTATAATAGTTCTGAATAATATTTAAATGATTTTAATTAATTGTTATTTTAAGTATAACTTAATGAAAAATTATTTACTCAAGTTGTTGCTTTCAGTAACAGATAATTTTTCGTCATTAAGTTGTATTTAGATATAATATTGACATTTGTTTTTTCCAGATCAATTTACGAAATTGATTGCACTATTTTTTTTAATCAGAAAGCGATGGAAGGCGTGTTAAATAAATTAACATTGCCGTCTCTTTTATCAACGCAATGAAAGAGATCGACGCATTGCGTTAATATAACATGAGGGTCAATTTACGTCATATTTCTTATCGATCATCGCTGCGACGACGATGAATTAATTTTAATCGATTTTTATGTAATATGAGTAACGTAACAGGGAATTAAGCGAATGAATGGAAAAATGTAATTGGGTCGATTCTGAGCTGATTAGTGAGTTCACGTCAATTTTCTGAACTTGTGATAGTAGTAAATCTACACCCGTATGAAGCTGGCCCCCCAATATTAAAAAATCGATTTTTTTCTTGATGCATTCGTTTGCTCATCGTTTGCTCACAAATGCTCAGTTGGAATTTTCGTTTGCTCACTCTTAGTTCAAAGTTTTATAAGAATTGTAAAAAAAAGTAAAGTGTAAATTAATCCGAGGTTAAAGTTAATTTTGTTATTGATAGAAATGGACATATAAAATTCTAAGCGCACGATTCCACTTATATTGGCTAACTTTTCGTCTTCAGAAGACGAAAATATACAACATATTTTCACAGGTATCACGTTCGAACGACGCGGTTCGAAAAATTATATCGTTTTTTTTTGTATGAAAAAAGACTGCGTTACGTCGATTCTCTTTCGTATAGTTTTTTCTTATCAATGATATTAATTAAAGACTGTTGCGCAACACGTTTTTGTCATTTATTTTATTATATAATGTAAATTTAATACACGATATTGAAGTATTTTACCTGTTAAAGATATTTACGTTTTATATTAGCGTTTCTTCCAAAGGTCTCGATTTAATAAGTATGTGTGAGTTCTTTAAGATAAGATTTTCAAACTTTATGAACTGACTTGATCTGAGAGATCCAGAGGAATCTTCACTTAAATAAAGGAGGTGGAGATTTGTTGAAATAATATATACCTAGTTATTGATTATTATTGTATTTCAACGAACAAGCATACTAATTTAGAATACAGAAAATACATTTGGTGAGAAAAACTATTGTATGTACATCTGATTCAAGGATCTGTTTGAGTATGATCCATATTGTGAGAAAAAAGTGAGACCTCTGTTCTTCTCGCAGAGAATACTTACAGGATCTTTGAATAGAACTGCAAGTTTGGAAATGTCTTAGATAAAAAAGAGATCATAAACGAATAGTGCAATCGAGTAAGGTAAAAATGGCGGAATGAAGTTTTATATCAAGACTGTCTAGACGAAGTAAAATTGCTCTAAAATAAATTAACAATAGAAAACTTTTATATTAGAAACGTTTTGCAGCAAATGTGTTACGGCACTTAACAACAATTATTTTATCGTTTCTTTCTGATATAGAGCCGATCTCTTTCAGGCAGATCGTCGGTACTTTGTCTGTTTATAACGTTTCATGAACTTCACAATAAATTGCTAAAACTTTCTCATGTAATAGCTGCTGTAACGATAATTTTGATTTGTTTTGATGATCACGCAAAAATAATGCTAATTGTACGCTGTACTCATTTTACATCCGGTTATAACACAATAACTAAACCGAACTGAAAATTTAAATCTTACAAAGTATTTTTGATTAATATGTTGCCAACATTAACATCCAAAAATTTTACTCATACGGCATAGAATTATGAATAATATACTCTTGTATCACTGACTGTACATTATACTAATTTTTAGTTTGTGATTATTAATATAATTAATAATATAATTAGTATACAATGTAATTTATCATTACAGATTCCGCTAAACACGCACACAAATAATATACACAAAGTGTTTCATTTTACTTGCCTACTTTAATTGAACATTTAAGAAAATGTATTTTTAAAAATGTTATATGATCTGTATATATGTATCGCGATAGTTACAATTTATGAAATTATAAATTGTATATATGACTTTATCGTTATAAGTGGAAAATTTGCTAACTTAAGAAAATCTTTATTTTAAATCCTTCATAATACAGTTAAAAAGTAAGACAATGAAATAAAAAAATGTATTTTATAGGGGATGAACAATTTATGACATAATTGGAATTTCAAGATAACTATAATCTTTATCTATAAAAAAGTATTAAATATTAAAAAAAACTTTTTTAATATTAAACCTCAATTATCTTGGAAATCTGATGTGCTGGAATTTTTTAATTAAATTTTGTAATTTAATGTAATCGATTGCATACTTTTAATCATGTCATTCAGTTACATTTTTCATATTAATTATAATTTTTATGATACATCCTGAGGTGTTCAAACCTTGCAATAAAAGTGAGAAGTTAGAAATTAGCATAAACCTTGAAATTTTTTTTATGCTTTGGTATAAAAATACTATAATCTCTCTCTCTCTCTCTTCTTTACGATAAACATACATATTATTTCTATTATTCGTGGAATGTATTTGTCTTATTTGTAATCTGCTAAGGATCGGATAACGTCTTTTTCATCGATTACTATAAGATTACTTAATTCTTGATTACCAAAGCTCAGTTGATTTGTTATCGTTTGAGAACAGATCTTTTTATATCGTTGAAGATTTTCCGTCTAAGATTTCTATTTTGTGCGTTGATTAAATTTTCCATGGATATTTCCTGATTTCTTATGAATATGTGCACATATCCAGAAATAGACTGCTTGTAAATAAAAAAACTTTGTACGTATCTGCGTTAACAAAACACATATAAAATTCGTAAATGTTGAAAAAGAGGCGTTCAAATAAATTTCTTTGAAAAAAATTTTTTTTATCTTTGCTTGCATGCAAATCTATAATGATTATAATGAAACCGTTTAATTCATTATAAAAATTTAACGAGGAGCTTTTTAATTAATTTTTTGGAAAATTTGAACTGTTAGAAAGTTGAAATTATTATGATTGTTAAGACAATTATAATGATTAGTATGGAGAGAGAGAGATTAAGATGACAATTAATGAAAAAAGACATGAGTTAACAAGTAGTATAAACATTACAATTACTATAAAGCCAGAATTTTTTGAAAATTATTTTATGCTTGCTTTAAAATATTTTTTTAGATCTTTTGGAATATATTTATTACGTATCATTGAACAATTTGTGAAGTCTTCATGCAAGTCTTTTTGTGATTCCTTTATATATAACAATTTAAACATAAAAGAGAAAATAAAATAGAAAACCTCTAGTGTGTTAACCGCTTATAAATAGATAAACCACTGATTTCAATTACAAACCGAGTACAAATAGAAGTTATAAAAGACTAGTATCTTATCTACTGGAACATACCAGGTAAATAACCGTAGAGTTGTATTAAGAATAATTATTTTGTTATTATTGTACACATGAAGCTTTATTATAGCTAGTAAATTATACGAGTAGAATCAAAAATTGCCATTAAATTAGATTTAAAATTTCAATTGTAATTGCCTTAGGTCTGATTGCACCAACGTGATTTCGATTTTAAGCGAAACTTAAACTGTCTCTGTCTCTGTCTTTCTTTCAGCTTTAAAACGAGATAGATAGAGTTTTAAGTCTCGCTTAAAATCAAAAAGTGTTGGTGCAACCGGGCCTTAGAGATTTAAACTTTAATTGCCTAACTGAATCACCGTAGATTAAATTATTTCAACATCTTATAGCCGCATATCAGAACGACATGCGGCAAATATCTTATAAGAGCGACATACAAGGATGAATCAAATATAAACAAAAATTTTGCTCTGGAGTCTAGAGAAGATAAAATATGAAGGACGATGCAACGTTAAGGATGTTTTGGTGGGAATGTAGGAGGGGATTTCTAGCCTGAGAGCGTCCTCGAATCTATATGGCAAAGAGATGCAATTGCAATTCATCGCGATTATACTATAAAGTAAAATATTAGCAAGCATTAGTGCAAAAGGTATGAAAATTGTAAAATGGAGTAATAAGGGTATTTTCTGAAGAGAAATATAATAAATAATATAATATAATGTTACGAATAAATTTATGGGGGGAGCAGGATAGTTAAATATTAAAAAAGCAATGATATAAATTTATTTTCTTAAGTTAAAAATTATATTTGATTAATTTTAACTTTCATGTATGTGAAAATGTAAATCAATCGATTTCTATGGTTTTCAAAATGCACGTAGTAAATAATAAACAAAATTTGAGTCATTTAGAGTATATTTAGTATATATGTGTATATATATATATATATATATCGACATTTCGTATATTTTCTTGGATTAAATTGAGCAGTGGCAATCTCCAAGAATGATTAAAAATAACTCAAATTGGAAGTATAATTTAACATTATGAATTTAACAGCTGTTTTTGTTTTTCGAGTTCTGTTAACAAGTCGTATAACAACTTGCAACAATGTGAAACTCGCGTGTCGAATAGCAAAATAACTTCTTCGGGATCAATATACGTTTACAATCGGATTATGTGAAAGCATATTGCATCTGTTGATGATAAGGTGATATTGAAGACTATCAACGTTATTCGATTCGTCATGCATAACGCAAAGATAAGATATTGCGGACTTTAGTATCAAATCATAATTCCTCTTAGTGAAGGAAGAAAAGGCAACGGTTAGGATCGTGTGGCAGTTGCTTCACAATTGGTACCTAATTACTGCCGAGGTCTCTTCGCCATATTCTTTCTCTCTTTCGCTGTAATAACTAATGCTGTGGAATGTAATTGCGGCGTGCGCACGTATACGTAAGGTTTATGTGTTACGTGTCTATTGAAGGTTCATTGTACCTTTACAGAAGAGACTTCTATGAGGCGGCATCATGGATGGAAAAGCGTATAGCGAGAAAGTGAAGAATCCCAGAGCGGGTGCCAACGTCTTCAGCATCTTAACGTTCTCGTAAGTATGAAAAGCAACAGCAGATGTCATTTGCGATATAGGTAGATAGTTAAGAAAGATATAATTGAGAACGAAAGTAGTGCGGGTCCAAGAAGGAATCCACAGAATGCAAGAACTTATTACGTATAGTAAAGTTAAAAAGTTTCCGGAAATTAATACTGATTGAATTTATGGAAATTTTATTTCAAATTTTACTTCTTTCTTAATCATCTTAATTATTTTACTGGTGTCTAGGTACAATGATGTTTATTCCAATACATTTTTTAGAATAATGAATTAATTTTTGACATAAGACTAAAAAATATTTCTAATTCTTGTGTTCCAAATGTTTAGTCAAGTTTCTACAGTTTTTAATTGGCTTTTAATGATTACTTTTTACTTTTAAAATTGAAATCCGAGTTGCGTGAAGAAAAAACAATAATAAATTTATAATATTAACAATAAAAATTTATAATATTTTATTCACACAACAAAGAGCGAAAATTAAAATGACTTGCATCAAGTTTTTTGTATTCTTATCTTCGAAAGGATAACTCATCATGATTTAAATTCGAAGATTTGTATTTACTAATTGCATCTTTAAACTGTTGAGGATTATTTTGTGAAATCCAACAACTCCACGTTTGCATTATGTATGAGTTCAATAAATATTAAAAGACATTGTTATATTAATTGCAATTATCTAACATTATTTTAAAAATAAATAATAATACAATTTAAACAATGTTTAAAAAAATAAATAACATTATTTTGTCGCTAGTTATATTTAATGAACGCAAAATTTTTTTATGTTTAACATATTGTTCGATAATTTTCAATTCTGTATGTGAATTTTTATTTTAACGTCGAGTTTTGTGCGAGAAGAAGATTATCCTTGATCTTAAGTCCTATTTGATTGTATTAAATATCGGCATTGTTTTTATCTATTTAAAATTAGAAGGAGAGATGCAAATTAATTTTGTAGAATGAACATATAGCGGTATCTTCAAAAATAAAAGAAGAGATTAGTATCTCAACGAAAGAAGCGTAATTCAGGAACTGGATGAATTACGCATAGTTCTTGCGAGTAAAATGTGTGTGTGCTTTGCTTTTCTTCTTCGCAGTTGGATCCTACGCATTTTCTGGGTGGGTTATCGCCGAGATCTTGAAGTAACTGATTTGTACACACCGCTTAAAGAGCATACAAGTGGTATTCTTGGTGTTAAAATAGCGAAGGCCTGGAAAGAAGAATGCGAGGCGTACCAGTGTCGGCTGGATCAGGTCGCGAAGAGCGGGTCGCAGAAGAAGGTCAAGGAGCCCAGCTTGATGAGAGTCCTCATCAGATGTTTCGGCTTCCAGACTCTACTATATGGAATTATTATGGCCGTTATGGGGATCCTACTCAGGTACAATTTTCCTCACTTCTCATCTAAAAATCCTCCTGTAAAGATTCATCCAAATTTTTTATATTCCCTGTCTTGACAAGAACAAAAAGCGATACAACTCATTGGAAAACTTTGAAGATTTCTGTAGAATTATATCCTTTCATAAAGCAGTTTTTATCAACGAGTCTTTTCCATGGTATTTTTAATTAACTAATGAATTAATCAAGTGAGGATTATTTAATCAACTACATTAATTTGTAGAATTGTAAGTTCAGAATATCACTTAGACATGCAATTACTAATTTAAAAGCGAATTAGACGAATTCACAAATTTTTAATTTCTATTGAGATTTATATGTTAAAATCTAAATTGTTAAACAAATCTTAGTTTACGAATTTCTTAATTATCTAATTTAATTTCATGATTTGTTTAAATGTTTAAATAAAATATTATTTAACAGAAATTGGAACACTCTAAGTTCCTTCTTCTGTAGAAACTTTTTTTATGATGCGATCGTTTATGAGTTAAAATAAAAAATCATCTTGGAGTTCATCAGGAATTACCAGAACATATAAATTGCTCTTCTAGCATGTATGCAGAGTAATATTGTGTTTATCGATCCGTTGATTCACTTCTACTGTCCTTGAAACTGTCCACTAAATCCTCTTATCATTGCGTAAAATGATGCTACTTATTTGATCTGTGATATTAAAAGAGGAAGATATAACTTTATTATTAAATTTCCGATTTATAATAATTTATTTTTACTTTCTTACTTATCTCTAATGTTAATATGTTCCTAAACTAATTTAACAAATAGATATAAACCGCTTCATATTCGACTCTATTATATGGTACATTAATCGAATTGACCACTTGATCCGATCTCTTCCATAAAATCTCCTCTGGCTCTAATTAATTATATTGAATAATTCTCATTTTTTATCTACATAATATGAATCAATTTTATAATAAGTTTAGTTATATCTATTTTTTAAATGAGTGATAATCTCACTCAAACCTTTCGTACAACTTGAATTTTCTTTTGTGATGTAGAGTGATGCAACCGTTGTTGGTGGGCCAAATGCTGCGCTACTTTAACACCATAAACGTCGATAAGTCCTATGCGTACGGATGTGCCGCTGGTGTCATTTTGTGCTCCGCTCTCAACGTGTTTGTCATACATCCATACATGATGGGTATCCTACATATGGGTATGAAGGTCCGCGTGGCCTGCTGCTCGCTGATTTACCGTAAGACGTTGAGAATGACTAGAACCGCATTGGGTGAGACAACAATTGGCCAGGCAGTTAATTTGTTATCCAATGACGTCAATAGATTTGACGTCAGTATCATATTTCTCCATTATCTGTGGCTCGGGCCCTTAGAAACCATCATTATCACGTACATCATGTATCATGTAGTCGACGTTGGAGAATCGTCTATTATCGGTGTCGCTTCTCTGTTGATGTTCATCCCTTTACAAGGTAAGAGAGTTACTGCTATAACTGTTTCTAATGATAACAGTAATTGGGTAATTGAGTTGAAAGTTACTTAATATGTGTGCATGTTTTGATAATATGTGTAATTTTGATAAATAGTAATTAGCCAATAATTGATTTTAATAAATAATAATAATTAGCTAATAATTTATTTTAATGAATGGTAATCAATTAATAATTTTAATGAACACAACAATATATAACAAATAATTGATTTTAATAAATTTTAATTTGAAATCTTGAAATTCTGTTATTTCTGAACTGCAATTTTTTAACATTTTCTAAAATATCAGAATTTAAAAAAATCTGTTATTAAATTTTTTTAATTTTATGATTACATTTCCAAATTTCCATATTTATTATTAAATGACTAGTGAACCTTTTTTGCTCAATTAACAAATTTCGTTGGCGTATTATCGCAAATTACTCCGTATCGTAATTTACGTCCCATTCCCGAAATTTCTCAGCATGGCTAGGCAAGAAATCGTCAGAGCTGAGATTAAGAACCGCCATTAGGACTGACGAGAGGGTACGATTAACAAATGAGATTATCAGTGGAATTCAAGCGATCAAGATGTACACTTGGGAAAATCCGTTCAGCGCGCTCATAGAAAAAGCAAGGAAGTAAGTACTACCAGCACTTACATTGATTACGCAAGCAACTCGTGCTAATTGTATTGTACGTTGAGAAACGTGACCGTTAAGGAAAAACATATAATTACGAAACATATCTACCAGCACTTTTGTAAATGAAAACAGACAGTACTTAAATGTATTTAATGCTTATTGACAAAATTTTAGATTTTACATCCTAATTAGTTTCTGAAAGAATGATAAAAATTTCAATGTTAATAATAGTCACGTGACAAGACAATTGCGATATTATGTGATATTTCTTGTAATAATTATATGACATTGTGTGTAAAGCTGTATAAGCTCTCGTAGAACATCCTGCGGATGTATTCTTTCGTCTTCGATATTTATATTCTATATCGAGTTGAGTCATCGTAGACAACGTGAAAGAGCGAATCGACGCTTGCTTTGTTTGTATTTCAGTTGTTATCGCTGTGAGACGATCAGATGAAATGATAATAGTCGACGGTGGCGGTTTTATCGTAGCGCACTTTCATTGTATTTCTATATTATTTTTAAATTGAGACGTAGTCTTTTAATAGAAAATTTCGCGATCAAGATATCTGTGAAAGATCTTTTTTTTTTTAAATATATTTTTTTATATTAACTTATATTAACTTATATTTTTAAATATATATATATATATATTAATTTGAATATATCAAATATGTATATACGTAGTCTGTTCTAAAAATAATGAGACAGTTTTAAAAATTTATATTAGCAGCATTGGGTACATTAAGTTATTTCAAACAATGAGATTATGTGTATTTTTGTTTATTATAATAGTTGTGTAAGAAGTAATTACAAAATTAATAACGGAGTGCTTTACCAAAATGGAAGTGTATTACCAAAATGGAATAGGAAAATATTGAACAATGTTATACCATCAAATTTTGTGTCAAACTCGTTATACAAATATTTGGAAAGTTAACAAAGATATTTTTGGAGACCAAGCCTTCTATCGTGCACAAGCTTTTCATTATTCTATAATTCTTATTCCATCAATAAAAAATGTGTGCACAAGAGATAAGGCTTTTAGTCTCCATAAGTTTTCCTTAACTTTTAAGTGTTTGTACAACATTTTCATTGAGTTTGATGCAAAATTTGATAACATTTTGTTCAATATTTTTCTTCATTTTTTATGATTTTTTAAAACATATTGTTACTAGTTTGCAATTAATTTTTTTATAACGATCGACCAGAAACACTCAATCTCAATGTGTTTGAGAGAAAGCTTAAGAATAATTAATTATTTTTGTAACTCTCCTCCCCAATTATAAATTTAAAAAGACCAGTCATTTTTGGAACACGTATCTATTTTTAGAAATATATGCTTGATTTATATATAATTTTTATCATAATTAATATGGAATAAAATAAGATGATATACATATTTAGTATTAAATGTCTTAAATATCGATTCGTGTTATCACGTTCATACTGTTAATAAATATTTTATAATTATTTGAAGTTATATTCTATTGAGCTAATCGTGTTAAATTTAAATAATTTAAAAACAATATATTATTTTTTATAATTTTAAAATTTGAATGGCTTCTATAATTCTTGATGTTAAATTACGGATTCAATAAACCTGACATTTATTTACGTTTTTGGTTTAGAAAATATGAACACAATTCGTAAAAAACATTAACAATACGAAATTCGCAGAAAGGAAGTTAATGTCATCCGATGGGCGTCGTATATCAGAGGTGTCACCTTATCGTTCATCATCTTTACAACGAGGATGTCACTGTTCATCACTGTGTTGGCTTACGTACTATTCGGCTACAAGATAACAGCCGAGAAAGTGTTTGTGATAACCGCATATTACAATAGTTTACGCACAACTATGACTGTTTTCTTTCCGCAAGGTATATAATTAGTGCTGTGAATGTAATTATATATATATATATAGTATATATATTCAGTTTATGAATAATGAATGTTGACAGTGTGACGCTTGCAGGGTTTCTTTGCTAATTTCTTCACTTCTCCCTTATTTTTTATTTCTTTAAATTTCTTATCTCTTATCTGTTATTCTTTTTTTTTGTTTCTTTCTATTTTTTCTCTTTTTATCTTTATTTCTTTTTTTCCTTTTAATATTCTCTTTATATTTTCCTGATTAGAATGATTTCATAATTACTAAATACTTTATTATCTTTATACTATAAATTTTAGAATCCTTTTAGGTAGCAAACACACGTCATTTTGACGTCAATTGTTCATTTACTGACCATGGCTGACGTCTTAATGACGTTCTAATGTCGCAAAATTATTGAGTCATCGCGAGGACGTCATTTTGATATCATGTTTCCAGGACATTTCTAAGCAGTAATAAATTAGAGTCTCGGGGTGTGTTCCAAAATTGACTGCCAGTACTAAAAACCTATAGTGCTCGTGACGTAAACTATAGATTTTCAGTACTGGCAATTTTGTAACACAGCCTAAGTAGCAATTTGACGTCATATAATGACGTTATAATGACGTTACTATATGACATCATCGGTTTCAATTTTTGATCACTTGACGTCATTCGTACCAACATGACCAATATTTAACGTCAAAATGACGTATGTTTGCTACTTAATGTGTGTGGGCTATTTAATAATTACATTCGTTAACTATGAGATTCATTATTCTATGTTTTTAGTTTCTTCTGTTTATTTATTTTGTCTTTATGATATAACACTCAGGGATAACACAAGTAGCGGAAGCGATGGTATCCATAAGACGATTACAAAAATTCTTAATGTATGACGAATTAACACCTTCTATAATCGAAACGAAGAAGGACAATAAAGAGAACAACACGAAAGATGTAAAAGAGAATAACAAAACTGCGATGGAGAATAATCAAAACAATGTGAAGGAAAATCGATGTGAAGAAAAGATCGAGCAAAAGAACGACGATACGATGATACGTCAGCCAAGCTATATTGAGCACAGCATCTCCATCGAGAACGGCAATGCCAAGTGGCTTGATTATGAACGAGAAGACACCCTACAGAATATCAACATAAAGGTGAATCCCGGCGAACTTATTGCTGTTGTCGGCCAGGTCGGCTCGGGCAAGAGCAGTCTATTGAATGTCATCCTAAAAGAACTAAGTTTGCAAAAAGGTTCCATTCAAGTATGTTGACAATATCTCTTTAAGTAATTTAAATACATAAATATATGGAATAAACAATTTTTTATCTATGAAAATAAACTATTTTATCAATTTATTAAAATATTCGTACATATGTATTTTTAATTAATCAAAATAATTATAAATTAATTAAATATTTTATATATATGATTATTTTCTTTTAAATATTTTTTTACAGATAAACGGAAAAATTGCCTATGCCAGTCAAGAACCGTGGCTTTTCGCTGGTTCGGTGAGACAAAATATTTTATTCGGAAGAAAGATGGATCAGATTCGATACGATCGTGTAACCAAAGTGTGTCAGTTAAAAAGAGATTTTAGCCTACTGCCTTATGGTGATAAGACGATTGTAGGCGAGAGAGGTATTAGTCTTTCCGGTGGCCAACGTGCAAGGTTGGTTTTACAGAACATTTTGATAAGATAAAATATACAAGATATTCAATAATATTCAAATTTTGAATTTTGAATTAATAATTTCAGAGATTCTCTTTTAATTTTTTCATAACTTTTATTTGTTTTATAATATTTTAATAAATATTTGTGCATATATATTTAATCTCTGAAGTTAGCTTTCATATCAACTCAATGAACATTTAAAAATTTATGTTTACATTTGATATGAAATAAGAATTTAGATTTCTATCACAATGTGTGTGTGTGTGTGTATGTGTGTATGTGTGTGTGTGTGTGTGTGTGTGTGTGTGTGTGTGTGTGTGTGTGTGTGTGTGTGTGTGTGTGTGTGTGTGTGTGCATGCGTGCGTGTGTGTGTGTGTGCATGCGTGCGTGTGTGTGTGTGATTTAACTTCCGTTCAAATCAAATTTATTTTGTGAGATATTATACAAACTCCAATTAACCTGTTTGGAAGGTTTTGCATTATATAAATAATTATAGAAAGCATATTAGTTACACACACATTAATAAGATTCTAATAATTAACAGAATAAATTTGGCGAGAGCCGTTTACGCTGATACCGATATATACCTCATGGATGATCCTTTGAGCGCCGTGGACGCTCATGTGGGCAAACATATGTTTGAAGAATGCATCGACAAATACCTACGAGGCAAGACTCGAATTCTCGTCACTCATCAATTACAATATCTTCGCAACGTCGGTAGAATTATTGTTCTAAAGGATGGAATTATTCAGGCTGAAGGGTATAAATGATTTTATTGCACTTTTTTTCTATCTTTTAAATTTGTATCTAAATTATAATCTTGTTACAATTTCTTTGTTGGAATAAGATTACAATAACATTGAGAATACACAAATATTTTGTGCTATTTATTTACAAATAGATTCTTAACTTCATGATTGAATCCTTGGCTTTTTGAATTAAAGACGAGAAAGTGGGGCTAATAATATAATTTGTAAATTAGAAGAGAGAAAAAAATTATCTTTATTAAGAATTTTTTTTATCAATATATGGCACTGGATATGACTTAATTATACTTTTGAGAACAATGACCTTTAATAGATTTGATCACTTCGGCTTATCTTTCTGATTATACAACGAAACAGTTCTATTTCAAGTCCTTACATTAATCATCTATTAACGTATCAAGAATCATTATCTTTCCACAGACAATACAAATATTGACACGATGTTCAGTGCCCTGTAGCGAAGTACAAAACAATGATCTTGTATTATTTTTAGACAATTTTCTTATATATAAGTTCAAACTAATATTTAAAATATCGTCACTTCTATTGTTTTATATGAATTTTATTTTTTGTTCATTAGCACTTACGACGAGTTGGGATCTATGGGAGTAGACTTCGGTCGGTTGTTGGAAAATCAAACAAAAGCGGATGAGAAATCTTCTCACCCGCTTTCCACCTCGGCTTCCCTTAGCCGTAGTAATTCTTGCACTGCCAGTATCACGTCATTAAGTTCTTTTATGACAAATGATACTTCGAAACAAGAACCTGATGAGGTAATTAGGATACATTTTCTAACTTCTTTTCCGAAGTATATATATATATATGTATATATATATATAAAATTTTAAATTTTAACACTAAATTAATTGGTAACATATTAATCGTTAATTTCAGGTGGCTGAGATGCGAACAGTAGGCACTGTTTCTAGCGAAATATATACGAGTTACTTACGTGCTGGTGGGAATTGGTGTGTTATATTCTTAGTAGCTACGCTTTGCATTTTAACACAATTAGCGGCTAGCGGCGGTGACTTTTTTCTCGCGCAATGGGTTAATATAGAGGAAAATTATGTAAGTGCATCACTATATACAAATTAATAAAATAATTCGATGCTTTAACATTAAATAAGATGCTTATAAGTATAAATTTTCTTTTTTTATAACTCATGAAAGAGATGTTCATTGGAGAGTTAAATAGAAATATGAGTTTTATATCGAACTTAAAATTGGAAAAAAAATTACAATCATATGATTTTTCTTTATTTAATTATGTTTCTTTATTTAATTAATTTTATGACATAGATGAACCAAACGGATGAGGGTGTTGCGGAAGATTTCACAAGTCCCCTTACTCGTATGCAGTGCATCTACATATTTAGCGGCCTGACTGTGCTCACAATCTGCATCACTCTGATTCGCTCGTGGGCTTTCTTTTGGACGTGTATGCGGGCTTCAATGCGTTTACACGATCATATGTTCCGCAGCATTAGTCGCGCCACTATGCGATTTTTTAACACGAATACATCAGGACGTGTGCTTAATCGTTTTTCGAAGGATGTGGGAGCTGTTGACGAGATGTTGCCAACTGCTCTTATCGACTGCATTCAGATCGGATTAGCACTGTTGGGCATCATCATCGTGGTAGCTATCGCGAATGTGTGGTTGTTAATACCCACAGTGTTAGTCGGCATTATCTTTTATTATCTGAGAATTTTCTACCTGGCCACCAGTCGCAGCGTAAAGCGTCTCGAAGGCATCAGTGAGTATCTTAGGCCTGTCTTTCGGAATAGTTTTTTTGATAGAATAAGATTTCAGATTAAACTCAAGTTATTAATTTCATTAAATTGACGATAGATTTAAATTCTTCGGTAAACTAAATAGAATCTCTAATTTTCTTTAGCCCGCTCACCGGTTTTCGCTCATCTGAGCGCGACTCTTCAAGGGTTGCCAACGATCCGCGCGTTTGGAGCAGAAGCGATCCTCACGAAAGAGTTTGATAATCACCAGGATCTTCATTCATCTGCGTGGTACATCTTCATTGCTTCTTCGCGCGCTTTTGGATTCTGGTTGGATATCTTTTGTGTGTTGTATATCATGTTGGTCACGCTAAGCTTTCTCGTGCTCGACAACTACAGTCGAGGTTCAATGGATGGCGGATATGTAGGTCTAGCGATCACACAAAGTATCGGTCTGACTGGCATGTTCCAATGGGGCATGCGACAGAGTGCCGAGTTGGAAAACCAGATGACCTCGGTGGAGCGCATCCTTGAATACAGGTATTCGCTTATGAATATATCTTAATAGATTTGTATTATGTACGCATTATCTTCATTGTTTTATTTTATTGAAATATGAATTACCTTTATTTCATATTTTATATCTTTACTTATTATCAACTAATTAAGTTTTTATTCAAATCGAAATAAACACAGGATTTAACAATTGATTATAAATTTCATATTGTGCCACGTGCTATTCTATTATTGATTTTGTATTATTATAGCCTTCTAAATCTTTAATTTCTTCGAATTCTGTGTGTTTGATATCTTATACCTTAGTGTCAAATTTATAAATTTTGGGATCCTGATTGAGATATTTTTTGTTATTTTTAAGGAACTTTTGTAACTCTCAATGACTAGGCTGTATGCTATAGTTATAGTCATTAAGAGTTATAGAATAGGTCTCTAAGTTTCATGATTTCTTTAGTGTTGATTATTTTAACATTTTATTCTTTAGTATTATACTTACGTTCTATAATTTTTCATTTGTCGAAACTTATGAAATCTTAAGATACAGAAAATATTAGGAATTTAGAATTTTTCTAAATATCTTACTCTTAGATTCTTAAATAACATCGTTAACATTTTTTGCTTTAATCCTTTTCTAGCAAAGTGGATAGTGAGCCTCCTCTCGAGAGTGCCCCTGATAAAAAACCCAAACCCGAATGGCCGCAGAAAGGCAAGATGGAGTTCAAGAACGTATTCCTGCGCTACGCGCCGCTGGAGCCACCAGTGCTCAAAAACCTCAGCTTTGTTATCTTTCCTCAGGAGAAAATCGGTATTGTCGGCAGGACCGGTGCTGGCAAGTCATCTTTGATTCAGGCACTCTTCCGTCTGGCTGATGTGGATGGTCTGATTGAGATCGACAAAATCGACACGAGTCAGATCGGTTTGCATGATCTCCGTTGCAAGATCAGCATTATCCCACAAGAACCTTTCCTATTCTCTGGCAGCCTAAGACGTAATCTCGATCCGTTCGATTTGTATCCAGACGAACCTCTTTGGCGGGCTCTTGAGGAAGTCGAATTGAAAGAAATAGGCTTGGAGGCCCACATCAATGAGGGCGGTTCTAATCTCAGTGTTGGTCAGCGGCAGTTGGTCTGCCTGGCGCGTGCTATTGTGAGAAACAACCCGATACTCGTGCTAGACGAGGCGACCGCGAATGTGGACCCGCGAACGGACGAGTTGATTCAGACAACGATCAGGAAAAAATTCGAAAAGTGTACGGTGCTAACGATTGCCCATCGGCTCAATACCGTTATGGACAGTGATCGCATCTTAGTGATGGATGCTGGCAACGCGGTGGTGAGTTAACTTTTTTGACGATCTTGCTTTTTCGTGTATTTTTTGGTGAACCATCAAATGAACTTAAGTAAGTCAAGATATCTTGCCTTGTCTTTGTGATTGTGGCGAATCAATACAATTATGAAGATATTCTTATGATACATTTTATACTGCTCCTTTCTGAGTATAAAATTTATAATCTTGGAGATCTTTTAAAGTAGCATAAATTATATGTAAATGTATGAATATTTTATTTTTTAATTTTTATGTAAAATTTTTTTATTATTTTTGTATCGTTTTATTAAAGTAAATTTGTTTGAAAACAAATCACTTATTTGCTAAAATTACAAAATCCTGTGACTAGATAGTAATGATTATCTTCTTTAAAGTGCTTACAACTATTTTTATGAGATAAACAAGTGACGGTTTATTTCACAATTATAATGTCTGGTACATATTACGTAAATGTTTTATATTTGACATGAATTAAACTGTATAACGAGGCTTTATAACGAGAGCAGATCATAAATCTCAAATTTTTTCTTCAAATGCGTACTTTTATTGTGTGCAGGAATTCGATCATCCCCATGTCCTGTTGCAAAAGGAGTCGGGCTACTTGAAGAGCATGGTACAGGAAACCGGCACAGCGATGGCGGAAGCTCTGGCTGGTGTTGCTCGCAACTGCTATCAAAGTCGCGGATTTACGGTACTTTGATGCATTCGCGGTGTCAAATAATTGACATCGTAATAGGTCGCTACGAAGGTTCCGTCAATTTTTGCGAGTAGTTCTTAGGCAAAATTCTTAGGATTTGAAAAGTTAGAAGAAAAGTGAAACGCAGATGAATTGATTAGTCCAAAAATTTAGAATTTACAGTCATCGATATTAATTCTCTTACATTATCTTCGTCTTCTACATTCATATGTTCATTCTTCCAATATATCATAGTTTTCTAAACTTTTCAGTTAGAATCATTAGTAACTCTTCCATTTCCTGTAGAAATGGTAATTTAAAGCAAATACATGAAGATGTTATAGAGGTTGAAAAAAAATTATGACGTTGGATTTTGGTTATCATAATGCAAATGTAATTTAAAATTAATTAAGTATTAATGGAAAGATATATAAAATTTAGGAAATATTGTTTTAAACCTAAACAGATGATGAGAAAGAAAATTGACGAATAAGTGTAGAAAAAGTTGATTGATTTTTACAATCTCGGATTTACGAATTCGAAATTCCAGAAAGTTAATTAGAAAAATTTGGAGATTTAAGGAACTCGAGAACTTGGAGAATGCCGAAAAATTACGCAAAAATGGCAAAACTTTTGTCTGCGAAAAATAATAAATTCGTAATCGTTTTGCTGCAAGCTGCACAGTTCTGTCTAGCTGGTCTTTTCATTTTAATAATCGCTGATTTTTTGCCACTTCAATATAATGATATGCGATTATTGCTAGTGCATGTCATTGCAGCAAGCAATTAGGAAATCAGTATAGTTCGCGTGGATCGCGACACAACCGTAGTTACCATAGTATTATTACATAATTTTTATATCAGTCCGACCTAAATATTTCATTAGAAACAATGAAGCTTAACCCGTTTGTTTACCGATATTTTTTTACCATCAAACTGCCATAAACGCTTTTTAGGAAAAAATTGTTTGTATAATACATGTGCATATGTAAATTTGTTACAAAAAGATGCGAGTCAAATATTAGCACATAGATAAAAAAGATATAATAACAAAAATGTGTGTGTGTGTGTGTGTGTGTGTGTATATAGAAAAAAATGTGAATGTAGAGAAAATAAATTATTAGTCTCACACATACATGCTCTTTTTCGAAGTTCTAATAACTTAAATTCTATGAAATCTAAAAACTAAATTGTCTCCAATTCATGGCAATTTAAAAAACACAAGTTTTGATATCGCTTTGATGGTATTTAGATTCCAAACGTGATTCGAAAAAATTTGAGATATGGTTTAATTAATTTAATTCGATTTTGAAGAAATAATTTTCAAAGTTGTAACCGCTATAAGATCAGTCGGTGAATTAACGGGTCGATTTGTACTTAGGGTATAAATAGTGCAGAAGAAAGACTTTTTTATACTCATTATATATTCCGATAAATACGTGTAAAGAATATTTGAAGAAAAAACCAATCACAGCAGGTCCATTCGTATATTGATACATTTACCTCACTTTATCGAGGTTGTTTGTATTTGTAATTTTGTAAAAATTTTACAATGTTTTTCCTGTCGTACTGGTGCTATAAGTACAAGAAAGACCAAAAAGTAAAAAAGGTGCCTCTAGAATTTAAAGCTGAAATACTTAAATGCAAAGCATGCAACGACATTATTTTCTATTATTGTTCTCTTGTTACTGTATTGTTATTAATAAAATAACAAGGCCCAGGGTACTCAACTTTTACGTAAATAATACAGGATTATAAAGCAGCGAAATTAAAGTACTTAACGCCTTTTTAGAAGATCGTGTTTTATACGTATATTTGAGAGTTTTTACTAGGCCTAAAAAGTAACAGCTGAGTGTCCCCGATCGACTGTGTTAAGCCCTAAACACAATGCGAGGGAATAGCGATAGCGATAAGTTTCAACCTATCAAAAATGCGTATTCCGGTGTATTTGATTTCTGATAAGTTGAAACTTATCGCTATCGCTATTCCCTCGCATTGTGTTTAGGGCTTTATAGAAAAAAGAGCTTTGAAACAAGTAAAGAAATCATTCTTAACAGAGATGTTAAACAAATATATTTGTATCGATGATTCTTTTTTGGCTCGTAAATGTAATCTTTACAATAATAAGATTGGAATGTAATATGTTTTTTTTTATTGTTTGATTGTTATTAATCCTTTATCTTTCAATTTTTATATATATACCACTGATGCTGAAACATTTTGTAATTTCAATGTTTTAAATTAATCTTTTATTTGGTGTATTTTTTTTTATTCGTGTATATAATACATATTTTTAATCTTTAAACGTATATTTTTTTATTTTTTAATGAATAATAATCACTATTTGGAATTCTAAATGCTGGGAAACTTTTGATTCTCCAAAAATAATATTATATTAATTATATCGAATCGTTATATTATACAATTTGTGTACTATGTCGAATAAGTAAAGGCAATTGGGTCGATCTGAGATACTCCGTGTAGGTTAAAATTGCTTCTTGCTCAGTTTTTAATCTATTTTCTGTTATTAGTATTTGCAATCATCTCAATAATTTTAAATAATCAAATTTGAATAATAAAGGCTACGAGTCAACACAAGATGCTAATATTAAACTTTAATACCGTGAAATCCAGTAAATTAAAGTCAAATGTGAGTACAAGTTGTTGATACGCACAGTAATAAGAAGTGAATTTATTCAAGTTACTCCTTTATTCTATTGAAATAACAAAATTTAGAATATTTCGATTTTCTTTGGAGTCTCATCTTTAACTAATATAAATTTAAACTTTAATAATTTAAATTTAAATAACAAACATTTTAATTAAAACCATTTTTTTATTGTACCATAACTGCTATATTTTCAGGGTAAATTTTAAGAAATAATTTTTTCCGTGAATACGTACCTACATTATCATCTTCAATGTGGTCACACAGTTAAAATAAAATTAATAATAAAAATACAAATAAAGTTACATTATTGGTAATATAAATAATGTAAAAAACAATTGTTTTAAACCTTCTAACATGATCGAATACTTTGCTCACAATTCCTCCACTATTCATCCTCGGGTGATAATAAAGTTTTTGTTGTAATGACTTCGCTTCTTATCATTGTCGTCAATAATATATTAAATTTCATCGTCAACTTTGAATAAATTTGAAAAGATTTCAAAGGTCTATTTATCGTCAGAACTGTAAAATTTGTTACAATATTGTTTCTCTCAACCATTACAAAATAAGACTTAACCCTTGTGTACACAACCAACTTTTTACCATTAAAGTTAACGTTGTTAATCCCTTCCTTACAAACAAATTCTTAAAAATTTTTAACTACACCATTTGCTAAAAATTGAGTTAAATAACGACGATCCGGACGTCCCAAGCGAAATTTTAATTTTCAATCCACTTATATGCAAACTGTGTACTTACATGTACCGTGGTGAGTACCCAGGTACTCGGTGCACACAAGGGTTAACTGTTCGAAGGTAAAGTGAAAAATAACGATTTTTTTTTAATTATTAAAGTTTAGTGTTAGCAATTTACATCTTGCGTTAACTCGTAGTTTTTATTAATCAAATTTGTTTTTAAATTATTAAGTATAAATATACAGACTTTGTTTAAGTAATCAATCGTAACATAATTTTTAAAGTTGTATACGATGTTTTTAAGCTCACTCCCTGGTGGAAAAATTTTGCTGAAATTATTTCACGTTTTGAAACGCTTTTTAGTAAAATTTCAGCATTTCAGTTTAATTTCAGCGATTTTTCAATGTGGTAACAAAAAAATTCGCTTTTAGTGGAATTTCAGCAAATTTTCAGCAATTTCGCTGAAATGTTTCAAAACGTGGAATAATTCAGCGAAATTTTTTCAGCAGGATCATTGAAGCGTTTACTTTGTATGTTGTGTAGTACAATTGTGTTATTATAAATATTATTATTATTATACTATAATATTATTGTACTACGATATACAAATGTATAAACTATATATCATAGTACAATAATATATTTTAGTACGATGCATGTGTTTTTATGAGTTACACGACAAGATACAGTTATGTATTAATTACTATATACAATAATATGTATATAATATAGTACGATTATATATATTCTTGTATTATATATACGATACAGATATGCGGTGTATTTGGTTTAAGTGTGTGGACTCGGTTTGAAGAATAAATTTATTAAAAATATTTTCAATTAAACAAAGAATCATTTTGTTTAAGAAAATCTCGTATTTAATTTTTTAATGTTAATTTTTTTATTACGAAAATTTCATTAACGAAAATTTTAGATTATTTAGATAATAATAAAAAATGTTTATTATTATTATTAATAAAGAAATATTTTTAATTAGTTTTATTTTTAAATCCTTTTTTAGAGTTTTATTTTATTGTTTTAATTAAAATAATATATCTATTTTTTATTACGGTTTTATATAATAATAATTACTGAAAATTACTTTGTTGCATATTATTTAATTAGCCACAAAATAACTTTATTAAACTGTGATAAAATAATTATATTATTTCATTAAAGAAATAAAACTAATTAAAACATTAAACAAATTTAAAACGTTTGATTAAGTATAAAATCTTTTTAAACAAGAATGATATTTGAAAAAATTTCTTATGACCCTATTATTCTAAAAAAGTTACGGAGTAAACAATTGAACCAAACTTACGAAACGCAATCATGTTGTAATCGTCATTGTCAATATTTATTATGTATGTAGATAGGTATGTTGTACTTTTAGGTAAAAATAAATTACAGTACCTTACATACAAGTGCCTACATTATGTAATGTAATCATTGTAAACAAAATGTAGATAAAAATGATTATTTATGTAATTACTTGTTATATGTATTTTTCCCCTCTACTTTTCTTTTTTAAGGTTCCTGAATATTTACCTCAGCTATATTGAATTGTAACGCCATAAGCGCGAAATGACATTTAAATTTTTATTGCATTCAATTTGTAAATAAACACAATTTGGATAAAACAGAATAATGAGAACGCTGTAAAACACTTGTAAAAATGGCCCGAGACATTACCCTCATTACCCTCCCTGACAGTCAGTAAACATGTATAGTCGAGAAACGTTTGTAAAATAAAAACCAAGCATGTACATTGAGTTTAGAAAAACTAGCAAACGCAATTTATGTACCTTTTACAACTCAGGAGTCTTAAATTACACTGTTCTTTAATTAATTATATATTGTACATATTCACATTACGATGGTAATAAAGTAAAAAAAATGCACAATTATTACAAAACACAGAATAAATATAATAAATTGAACTTATAAAAAAGAGTCAAACAAATTGATGGATCAAATAAAAAAATGTAAAGTAGTAAACGCAAATTCTAATGTTTAATTAAAGATATGTAAGTACATGCAACTGGACACAGTTGAATGTTTTGTTACTTACTGAGTTACGTAAAATTATTCATTTCAGAAGAAGCTATTAGCGGAGAATTATAATAATGGAATAAGATGCCAAAAAAGCATCAATTAATTATTAAATTGTTAATCAATTTAATTCGTGATAGTACTACGGTAGTTTATTAGAGTTGCGTTTCAAGATCGACAATTGTTCAGCGCGCAGTTTAGAAAGACTACATATATCAGTATATAAATTCGCAAAATTATTGTATATAAGCAGCTAAGATCCAAGCTAGACTGTTATAGGCTTCGTATTCGTATTAGTTATGTTGTTACATTGACGATCTTTAAAATTTAATATTATAAGTTTACTGTTTCATATTTGCGGACATTTCTTAGACGTCGTTAAATCTTATAATTAAAAATTGTCATATTAACTTTTTGCTTAAAATGCTAACAATAAAAAAAACGGTACAGCGATCTGTCGCCTTAAATAAGATCTTGCACAACAATTAGGAATAATCCTTAATTAGTGTGTCTACAATCGTAGGATTTATCAAAATGTCAACATTCTTTAATTTAATTTAATTATATCGCTGAAGATAACTCGAAACAAGAGTCGAAACGTAAAACGAAAAGCAAATTTGAACGACATAAAGGTTGCTCAATTGCTTTATATATTATGAAATTTATTCGCTAATTGTAACTTGCGGCCGACTCACATTACCTGTCATTTTTGTTATAATTTATTTATTAATAATCTTAATGTTGCAATATGCGTATTCCACTATAAACAATTACATATGTTTGCACATGTCATTACTATTTGCATCATGAATCGATGCAGTTAATCAGGCACGCATAATAACGTAAATATTTATCCCAATTTTTAATGAAATCACTGGTAAAAATTTTTCAAAAACAAATATAAAATTCAATAAAATGTTAATTTTTTCAAGAATTTTTTTTCTAACTAATTGTAATGTACACACATCGATCACGTGATCAAATATAATGCACTGTAAGTACTCGATACTACGATAGTGTATGAAAGAAAGAGACAACCTTATCCGCAGTAAATTATCGCAGTTCGCGACCATTTTTTTACATAGAGGGAATAGACTAGCACTTTTCGGTATCTATGAGTTCAACTATGTGTTTCAGTAGTTGTCCCTGTTCTTTGCAACATGTTTTGTAACAACGTTCAATACTGCATAACTTACGTGTCAAACAGAGAAATAGATTTTTCAGGTTTGATTACGATTACCATTGGACTACGTAAAAACACGCATACTCTGATAGCGATATTAAAGATCACCATCGTGCATTACATAGATAAGATATTGCAAATTTTATCAAATCATATCTAATCTTTCTCTCCAAGCGAAGGAGAAACGACGACAAGAATTATATTGTTCTACTCGTATACAATATTATAATAGTTATTGAAATTTCTTTGTCGTATGCTTCTTTTTGTCTCTTCGCAAATAACGTCGTTAAATGTAATTGTGTGCACATATGTGTGAGATGTATGTGTAAGTGAAGGACCATTGTACTTTTACAGAAAAAACTTCTCTGAAACAACGCCGTTATGGATGAGAAAGTGTATACCGAAAAAGTGAAAAATCCCAGAACGAAGGCGAACATTTTCAGCATCTTGACGTTTTCGTAGGTATTAATATATATACCAAGCAAACGCAAATATCATTCGTGATAGATCCGGTTAAAAAAGATAAAATTGAGGGAGACGATGTGATGTGGCTCACGAAAGAATCCAGATTACAATGACTTGATATATGTAGTATAAGATTTAAAAGTATTTTTCTCCAGTCCAAACATTTAAAAAGAACGATAAAAGAAAATAACTATAATATTTCTATTTAGAAAAAGTCTTTATTTAAATATATTTTTAAAGAAAAAAAAGAAATATTAACGAAGATCAGTTCTCCATCGATCGATTTTTTCAACATTTGACTTCAATTTTGAAAATAAAAATATATCAATAGAAGTTAAAAATTGGTAATAATAATTAAATAAAAAACAAGAACTTAAAATGTTTTTAGTGATATACGAAAAATAATTTGTCTTTCTAAAAAATGTATTTAATATATTTCTTGGGATAGGTGAATAATGGAAATTAAAAATTAGAACTTCTTTACTTTAAATTTGAAGAGTCACACATATACTTGCACGCTACATCCGAATTTATCTGCTAGAAAAATAAAGCAGAAGCATTTGCTTCGTTACTTGGTTGAAACCAGATCGTGAAAAAAATGAGTCAGCGGAATTTGCAAAACTCGCGAATAATATACATCTAGATATATGTTATTCGATTTAATCTGGGCATCTATTACAAAATTATTTGGAATGAATCCTGATCTGAATTATTCCATCTTTCCTAGAAAATACAATAAAAATCCAGGGAATAATTGAATAATTCCGACCGAAAACCATTCTCTCAAAAACTTTTAGAGTAAAATTTAATTCTTAAAGATTAAACATTCAGTAATTCCTTTCCAAGATTGATTCAATTTTCATTCTAGAGTGGGATTCTATTCCAAAGAGTTTAGAAAGTTCTAAATAATTCCATAATATGTAGATTCGGGTTAATAAGATGTTTCAAGTGAAATATCAAAACAAAAAAATACTTTATACTATATACATATAAGTATAGAATAGAGCAGATAATGTGAAATAGAACTATTAATATGGAATAACTTATTTTTTAAAAGAAGTGGTCTTTCACTCTTCTCTGCTCAAAATTATTGTAATTATTAAATCTACCATAACAAAGTGAATTCTGTATAATAAAATTTTCTAACATATGCATTTATTTATTCTTATTCTTTGGCGAAAATAAAAGTTACAGTATAAGTCTAATATATAAGCATCCTCTGCTTATGAATATTAGAATCGCGAATGAAGTTTTTAAGAGGCGAAAATTATGATAGTGAAACGTAAAAGAGACGAAATCTCTAAAATGAAATTCCAAAATATTTAATCAGTATTTATTCAGTCACATTTTTGCCTATTTGATTTTATCCTTCAATATTCTATTACATTTTTTTTATAATAATAAATATTTGATAGGATATACAGAATGCTTCATTCAAGTGTAAAGGGATTAGTGTTATTTTGCGCTTTGATTACCATACACTTACCAGAAGAGACATGTAATAGATAACAAACAAACAGATAAGAAATAAATGCAAACATTTAGTTGTTTTAAAGTATTAATATAGCAGATAGATCTTGGATGATGATTGATAAACGGACAATGTCGCGATTTATCGGAAATCGCAAATATATGAGTCTATAAATAATGTCAGAATTATCTTACGAGTATATCGCTCTTCAGATAAGTACTATATTTCTTAATTTCATTTTTACACTTAGCGATATGCTTGGTGCAGTTAGGCTAATATTTGCATATCGCTCATTTGTTATAAGAACGGTATAATTTAAAAAACTGAGAATATAAAAAAGAATTAAGGAAAAACTTACTTAGAAAAAAAAAATACGACTTTTATAATATTTCTTTTAATAAATTACTACAAAATTATCTTAACATCGAGTTTTCCAAAAGAAAATTGTCCTTGATTATTATCTTAAGTTTAATTTTATTTGTCCATTTTAAGCGTAATCATGTGATTTCTATAGATTTGGAAGTTAAAAAGAAAGATGCAAATCAATTTTGCGCAATAATATGTAAAGCGATATAAGTAATATATTATAGTCTTCCAGCGAAAGAAATTCACTAAAAACTGGACAATACAAATGGTTTATACGAGTAAAACGTGCATGCTTTGCTTTTCTTCTTCGCAGTTGGATTCTACGCATTTTCTGGGTAGGTTACCGCCGAGATCTTGAAGTAACTGATTTGTACACACCACTTAAAGAGCATACAAGTGGTATTCTTGGTGTTAAAATAGCAAACGCCTGGAAAGAAGAATGCGAGGCGTACCAGTATCGGCTGGAACAGGCCGCAAAGAACGGATTACAGAAGAAGGTCAAAGAACCCAGCTTGATGAGAGTCCTCATCAGGTGTTTCGGCTACAAAACTTTACTGTATGGGATCTTTATGGCAGTTATGGACATCTTACTTAGGTATAATCAATCTTTGATGTATTCTTTTTAGGTATGCTTTAATATTAAAATAATGTTAAAATGACGACAAATAATGTCAGTTTGTTGGAAATCTCTCTCTTTTTACCTAGAAATTTTTCTATAGAATCTCTTTCCCAGTTTTCAAGTTTTTATATTTTCGTTCATAGTAATAGGTTTAATTTCTCAGAATTAAATTGTTAACTTCTGTATAAGACACTATTAATGCAAGGAATATAAAAACTTGAAAATTGGAAAGAGATTCTATAGAAAAATTTCTAGTCATTTTAACATTATTTGAATATTAAAGACATAAAAGCAAGAAACATTCGAAAACTTAATTGATCCCCTCCTCCTGAAAATGTTCAAGATTTAATTAATAACACTGTGTGACCACAAAAATTTTCCAAAGGGCGCCTGGGTTTGGTTATGTCGGGGGCACGGCCCACTACCATTTCCCCAAGGGATTTGGCAAAGTTAGATCGTACAAAAATGGGGAATCAATTTATAGTTATGAATTTTGAAGAATACAGGTAGCGCGATTTGAGGTCAAATATATTTGATAAATAGATTTGATAACAAATATACGCGCATGTTAATATTTTTTTCATCACGCGTGCACGTAATGTGCCCTATACCTTAACGTTTTTGCACGCGATAAATAGCCAATACCTCAAGCCGTTGAGTTATTTCTCTAATCCCACTCTTCTGCGCAAAAACGTTGCTGTATAGGGCACATTACGACGAGCACTAGTAATGAAAAATTCTAGCGAGTGGAGGCATATTTGTTTATAGCTCGTGCGCTCGTGCCCGGCCGCGCAATAAACAAATATCCTCCACAGCTTATGTACTATTAAATTTATTCAGCAATTGACCAGCAAAAATCAGAAATCATGGAAAGTAGAGATTTTCCTTTGTATTGACATTCCATCTGCATGATTTATTGATGAAATTTTTCACCTTGTTCGTCTGACTCTGTAGCAAGCTGCTTTTCAAAGAATTAAACAGCATTTTGTCACAATCAAACCCACGCGCTCTTTGGAAAATTTTAAAAGTTGAAATCGGTCACACAGTGTAATTATACTGGATAGAGTTATCTAAATAAGTGATAATATTTCTGAAATCTCTCATATGACCTGACGAATTCTTTCTCTCGATATAGGGTACTGCAACCGTTATTGTTGGGTCAAATGTTACGTTTCTTCAACACCACGGACGTCGACAAATCCTACGCATATGGTTACGCCGTCGGTGTTATTCTGTGTTCCGCTCTCAACGTATTCGTTATCCATCCGTACACGATAAGTATGTTGCACATGGGCATGAAAGTCCGCGTGGCCTGTTGTTCACTGATCTACCGCAAGACATTGAAGTTGACCAAAACCGCGTTGGGCGAGACGACAATCGGCCAGGCAGTCAATTTGCTATCTAATGATGTCAACAGATTCGACATCAGTATCATATTTCTCCATTCTCTGTGGCTTGGACCTTTGGAGACCATCATCATCACGTACGTAATGTACTACGTGATCGACGTTGGAGTATCGTCTGTCATCGGTGTCGCTTTTCTGCTGATGTTTATCCCTTTACAAGGTGGGAAAGTCTCTGCTCTAATTGTTTCTGACGATAAAAGTAATCAGACGATTAAGTTAAAAGTGGTATGACGTGTATATGTATTTATATGTGTTGTCCGCAATGTTTAGAAATGTTTTAGTTAGAAGTAATGTTGTTGATGAAGACCATCCTTTTACTTTGATCAAAAATTAAAAAATATTATTGATGTGAATAAAATGTAAAATATTATTGAAGTGTGAATAGAAAGTATACATTAGTTCATTGTAGTGTATTATAATATGAAGCTGTTTTCTATAGCTTCCTAGCTATAGAAAAATAATTAATTAATCTATTTTTAAAAATATAAGTATTTTTAGAAATAAGATTTTTTTAGAGACAATGAATTCTTATTTAATGCCCATTTATGAGATTATTGTGTTATTGTTATTTATTTATTATATGTGGGGCTTACGCCAGAGAATAACAATTTTTAATGTTGTTTTTAAGAATTTAAGATTGCATTAAATTTGTTAGAAATTTTCAAAGATTAAAAGATTAATTACAGATCAAATTGAAGATTACTGTGATTTTTTAGTATTAAGTGTTAAATTGTAAATGTTAAATATAAAGAAAATAATAAAGCTCAAATCTGTTTTACATACAAGAAGTGATTTCAAAAGATCTTAAAATGAAGAGCAAACTTCAATGAGATCATTGTGTTTTACGGATTTAATAGGACTTACACGCAATTATTAAGCTAAGAAATAATAAAGATCTTAATTTCAAAAATTTTTTTCCGTTTTTAATAAAGGTTCTCATATTTACAGACACATATTAATAATAATAATTATATACTTTAATTTTGGAATAAAACTTTCAAATTTGTGTAAAAAATAGAAATTGCGACAAAAAATTTTGCGTTTAATTTGTAAAATAGACGATCATAGAATCTTCTTAATTAACATTTCTTGTTCGGTAAATCACCGATAACTGCTAATTGTATTTCATGTCTCGTTCTTGGAATTCTTCAGGATGGCTGGGCAAAAAATCGTCAGAGTTGAGATTAAAAACCGCTATCAGGACCGACGCAAGAGTGAGATTAACAAATGAGATCATCAGCGGAATCCAAGCCATCAAAATGTATACCTGGGAGAATCCGTTCAGCGCCCTCATACAAAATGCAAGAAGGTAAGCATTGCTGTTTACATTGTTGATAATTCCAATGGTTCCTTTATCAGTATATATCTATCGAATATTCAAAATATCGATTGGTTGCCAATAAATGTTTTATAGCTATTTTATAGCTAAACCTGAACTGTTTTTATAAAATAATGCGTTACTTTATTTTTAATTCTGAAATTTGGCTTTTTTTATTTTTAATGTTGAATTACTAATTCGAGACAAATTCGGCTATACATTTCTGAGTTAGGAAAAATAAATACAATTCGGTAAGAAAAATAAAAAATAATTAACAAAATTTGTTCGCAGGAAAGAAGTTAATGTCATCCGATGGGTTTCGTATATCAGGGGTGTCACCATGTCTTTCAATATGTTTACTACAAGAATGTCGCTGTTCATCACGGTGCTGGCTTACGTGCTGTTCGGCTACAAAGTAACGGCCGACAAAGTGTTTGTAATAACCGCCTATTACAACAGCTTACGCACAACCATGACTGTTCTTTTTCCGCAAGGTATGCGATAATTTATGCTACTGTAATGCAATAATTACAAGAATAATATTGTCAAAGTTGATGACGCTCATAGTATTTTTCTATTTCTTATATTTTTATTTCTTTATAAATTTCTTTTATTTTATTTTTCTTTTTTCGATTCTTTTCTTTCTTTTTCTTTTTTAAAATTTACTTTTTTTTTACTTTTTAATGTTCTTTTTATTTTCGATTATTATCTATGGTTTTATACTTTGTACACTTTTCTATTATTTTTATATATATTATACATTTCTAATAATGCGTGTACTGCTAACTATATTATATTGTACCGCCGGTACAATATATATATAATCCGTTAATAATCACATACCCTTATTTATGAAGTAAAATATTCTATAATGTGTTTTTATTTCCTTTTATTTGTCTATTCCGTTCTTTTTGATAACTCAGGGATAACACAGGTAGCGGAAGCGAAAGTGTCCATAAAACGATTGCAGAAGTTCTTAATGTATGACGAACTGATACCTTCTGAGATTAAAGCAAAAAAATACAAGAAAAATGATAAGGAAGATGCAAAAGAGACTAATAAGAATGCAAAGGAGGATAACCAAATGGACGCGAATAATCCGAAAAATTCAAAGGAAAATTTGATCAAGCAAAATAAAAACGATGATACGATCATACACCAGTCGAACAATGTCGATTACAGCATCTCCATCGAAAACGGAAACGCTAAATGGGTAAATTATGAACAAGAAGACACCTTAAAGAAAATTAACATGAAAGTGCGTCCCGGTGAACTGATCGCTGTCGTTGGCCAGGTCGGCGCGGGCAAAAGCAGTTTGTTAAACGTCATCCTGAAAGAAATGCGTTTGCAAGAAGGTTCTATTGAAGTATGTTGATAATTCTTCTTTTTAGTTAATGTCAAATATTTAAGAAATTTTAATACATATAAAAGATATTGAATAAAATGTTTTGTTCATAAAAATAAATTATTTAATCAATTTATTAAAAAAAATATATATTTTTAATTAATTAAAATTTTTAGAAATTAATTAAATTTTATATATATTATTTCTTTTAAGTATTTTTTTCACAGGTTAACGGCAGGATTGCCTATGCCAGTCAAGAACCGTGGCTTTTCGCTGGTTCGGTTAGGCAAAATATTCTATTCGGAAGAAAGATAGATCAGATTCGGTATGATCGTGTAACCAAAGTATGTCAATTAAAGAGAGATTTTAGCCTGCTGCCTTATGGTGATAAGACAATTGTGGGCGAGAGGGGTATTAGTCTTTCTGGTGGTCAGCGTGCTAGGTATGTTTCAGTACTATTTTCGTACTGTATATTAATATATAAAGATATATGATAATAAGTAAAGATAAGAAATGCAAAATTTCTATAATAATTTATATCTATAATCTTTAGGTGATACCTTTAATCTTAGGTAATCTTAGGTGATACCTTTTTAACTTTTATAACATTTTTTTACATAATTTTAATTTGCTCTTTTTTTCGGACCTCGAATATGTGTACGAGTCGCTATCTTACATAGTAAGGTCTCGACCGCGGCACGCTCGGATATTTGAATAGGTATATGAATATTGTTCACTTTGCCCTCTCCTTCCGCTTTGCCTTCCTTTCCCTTATATAAAATGGGTATAACGTTTTAATTTAATTTTAATACAATTAATGTTATTTAATTTTTATATACTGATGAGACACTAATAATTGACAGAATAAATTTAGCGAGAGCAGTTTACGCTGAGACTGACATATACCTTATGGATGATCCTTTGAGCGCCGTGGACGCCCATGTGGGCAAACACATGTTTGAAGAATGCATCGACAAATATCTACGAGGCAAGACTCGGATTCTCGTCACTCATCAATTGCAATATCTTCGTGACGTTGATAGAATTATCGTCCTAAAGAATGGAGTCATCCAGGCTGAAGGGTATAATATGAATGAATTTACTGCATTTTTTACCTTTTAATTAATATCTTATCGTTACAATTTTTTTATTGGATTACGATTGCAACAAGTTTGACAGTTTGTAAATATTTTGTCTCATTTATTCATGATATATATTTGATTGCTTTGTAAAGTCTTATTATTACTTTTACGATTCGATTTTTAAATCTTTGAATTCCAGAAAAACGTATAGAGTGTAATTCGTATAAGATAACAAAATTGTCTTTCTTAAGACATTTTTTATTAATATACTATATTATATATATAATTATGCGTACAAAAACAATAACTTTTACTTGACGACTTTAATTAATATATCTGATAATAATACCATAAAATGGTTTTATTTTAAGTTCTTTTTAACACATCAAAAATTATTGTTTCTTTGCAGAAAAAACTAAATATTAATCTTAATATCTATAACAAAGTGTGAATGCCTAAATCATACAAAATAAAAAACTTTTAGAATTTTTAAGAATATACGTATATTTAGAAATTTTTAGAACATTTGCAAGTTTAAGCTAATATTAGAACATCGTTATTTCTCTTGTTTTATATGAAATTTTCTGTTTATTAGCACTTATGACGAGCTGGGCTCTATGGGTATGGATTTCGGTCGGTTGTTGGAAAATCAAGTAAAAATGGATGAAAAATCCTCTCGACCTTCCTCGATCTCCGTTAGCTGCAATAGTTCTCGTACCAGCATCACGTCGCTGAGTACCGTCATGACAAATGATACTTCGAAACAGGAGCCTCATGAGGTAATGTGGACTTATTTTGACATTACTACTAACATGTATTTTATTTAATTGACATTATGATTTAAGATAATTGTAAGAGAGTGTGTTATAAATTACAGCCACACATAAGTTAGTTTGGATATTTTACTTTTTCTATAATAAGCTAAATTTTCACATAATACAAAAAGTATTCCTATTGTAATAATTGATAATAATTAAATAATAAAAATTAATTTTATGCAATTTTTATTAAGAAAAACGCAATCTCGAAAAAATGACCGCCTCATTTTTTTTATTGTTAGAACCATTTTATATTGACACTTAATGCCATAATTGTTAATTTCAGGTTACTGAAATGCGAACGGTAGGTAATGTTTCCGGTAAAGTATACACGGATTATTTTCGCGCTGGCGGCAATTGGTGCATTATATTTATAGTGACTATGCTTTGTATAATGGCACAATTAGCAGCTAGTGGTAGTGATTTCTTTCTCGCACAATGGATTAATATAGAGGAAAATTACGTAAGTGCATCACTATATACAAGTTGCTATTATATAATTTTCAAATTGAGATGTAATAGTTTTTCTAAAAAAAAAAAAAACGCGAAAAGTTTAACTAAAAATAATTCAGTAATATTTTATGTTGGGTTTCAAAATTAAATATGTATGTTTTTACGTGTATATGTGAAGCAGATAATATACTATAAGTATCATTTATTATAATATTGCAGTAATATAATATCATTTAATTACTTCATCACTTCCAATTCTAGTTTTGCTTAAAATTATTTTTAAGCAACGTCAATTTTGACTCTATAATAAAGAATTTGAATAAGCTTATTATTGCCATGGATAAAGTTTATATTTGTAATTTAATTCTCGTAAGTTAAAGCAGAATTTTGCCTTAAAATTAAAATAAATTTTTAAGAGAGAGAAGTTTTAGTTTTAAAAACGTGAATAAAAGAAGAGGTTTTTGTAGAAAAATTTTTACAGATTCTTCGACGTATTGATTATGTAGATATTATTAATTATGTAATTCTATAGATGGATCAAACGGACCACGGTGTTGTAGAAAATCCGGAAAGTCCTCTTACTCGCATGGAGTGCATCTATATCTACAGTGGGTTGATTGTGCTCACAATCGGCATAACCCTTATTCGCTCATGGACTTTCTTTTGGACTTGCATGCGGGCCTCAATGCGCTTGCACGATCGTATGTTTCGCAGCATCAGCCGTGCTACTATGCGATTCTTCAACACTAATACGTCGGGACGTGTACTTAATCGGTTTTCCAAAGACATGGGTGCGGTTGATGAGATGCTACCCGCTGCGTTTATTGACTGCCTTCAGATCGGTATAGCACTACTGGGTATTATCATTGTGGTAGCCACCGCGAACGTGTGGCTGCTGATACCTACGGTGCTGATTGGCATTGTCTTTTATTACATGAGAATCTTCTATTTGGCCACCAGTCGTAGCGTCAAGCGTCTTGAAGGCATCAGTGAGTATATTGCAGGATCACCTTTTGATAGAATATACGTCAATAGACACAGTGTCTTTGATAGAACAAGATAAATTTAATCGCAGATTGAAGCCAAATCATTAATCTCATGTAATCGCCGATAAATTTCAATTCTTCGAGTATACTGAATGGAATTTGTAACGTTTCTTAGCACGTTCGCCGGTTTTTGGTCACCTGAGCGCGACACTTCAAGGATTATCGACGATTCGCGCATTTGGAGCGGAAGAGATTCTCACAAAAGAGTTTGATAATTACCAAGATATTCATTCATCCGCGTGGTACATCTTTATCACGACCTCACGCGCTTTCGGCTTTTGGTTGGACGTTTTCTGCGTGCTATACATCACGTTGGTCACGTTAAGCTTCCTTGTGCTGAACAATTACAGTCAAGGTTCAATGGATGGCGGATACGTAGGTCTGGCGATCACGCAGAGTATCGGTCTCACCGGTATGTTCCAGTGGGGCATGCGTCAGAGCGCAGAGTTGGAGAACCAAATGACCTCGGTGGAGCGCATCCTTGAATACAAGTACTTAATTAATTTTTGAAATATCTATTATTATTCTATGCTGCGTGATATCTTTTAATCTATCTTTTATTTATGTGTCAAACGCATTTACGAATATTTAGAAGAACGTAACATTTTTGTAGATGTGCCTTATACACTAATTTGGACTTTATGAAAAGTAGTGCAAAATAATAAAAAGAGTATGAGGAGACTGATTACAAAAATCCATATGCAGCAGTCAAAATATAAAATAACAACATTAATATATTTTCTATTTCAATCTTTTTCCAGCAACGTAGATAGTGAGCCTCCCCTCGAGAGCGCCCCAGATAAAAAGCCCAAACCCGAATGGCCGCAAGAAGGCAAGATCGAGTTTAAGAACGTATTCCTGCGCTACTCGCCATTGGAGTCACCAGTGCTCAAAAACCTCAATTTAGTCATCTTTCCTCAGGAGAAAATCGGCATTGTCGGCAGGACCGGCGCCGGCAAGTCATCTCTGATTCAGGCAGTCTTCCGTCTGGCTAACGTGGATGGTTTGATTGAGATCGACAAAATCGATACGAGTCAGCATGATTTCCGTTGCAAGATCAGCATTATCCCGCAAGAACCATTCCTATTCTCCGGCAGCCTGAGACGTAACCTCGATCCGTTCGATTTATATCCAGACGAACCTCTGTGGCGAGCTCTTGAGGAGGTCGAATTGAAGGAAATAGGCTTGGAGGCCCACATCAATGAGGGCGGTTCCAATCTCAGCGTCGGTCAGCGACAGTTGGTCTGCTTAGCGCGTGCTATTGTGAAGAACAATCCGATACTCGTGCTAGACGAGGCGACCGCGAATGTGGACCTGCGAACGGACGAGTTGATTCAGACAACGATCAGGAAAAAATTCGAAAAGTGTACGGTGCTAACGATTGCTCATCGACTCAACACTGTTATGGACAGCGATCGCATCCTGGTGATGGACGCCGGCTACATGGTGGTGAGTCCATTTTTTTAATCATCTTTTCATGTATTTTATAACTAAAATAATAAGTCATTAAAAATAAATTTAAGCTGGTTTACGAAATCTTTTTTTCTTTCTGTGGTTATAGAAAAACAATGTAACTATGAATTTGATTATTTTTGTGATATATTTTGGACTTCTCGTTCTAGATAAAATTTATTTACAATATTTTAAAGCAACATAAATTGTACGTGAATTTATATAATTTATTTTATGAATTCTACAAATTTACCCTTTGATTATTTTTGTACTATTTTGACCGTTGTTTGTTTGTAAGCCCCTTAGTCGATACAGAATCACAAAATATTTGTCTAAATAATATCGATTATGTTTAATGGAAATGCTTTATTCTTTAATTATTTATAATAGTATTTATTCTCTATACATAATAAGCTATCTCATAAAATGCGAACTATAAACATTCGTAGGAATTCGATCATCCTCACGTGCTGCTGCAAAAGGATACTGGCTACTTGAAAAGCATGGTGCAGGAGACCGGAACAGCGATGGCGGAGGCTCTGGCCGGCATCGCTCGCGATTGTTACTTGCAGAATCAAGTGTTCACAGCGTTTTGATGAGCCCACATATGTCGGATTTGCGTCCAGAAAGATTAATTTAGTATTGGGTTTAATATTGGAGCGCAATTAATAATTATAAACATTCACTATTCATTACTATAATAACGAACAATTAATAAATGTCTGTTAAATAATTAAAAGTAAGATATGAGATAGTCATTGAATTTAATTCATAAAAAGTAATTTACAAAAGTAACGCAATATAATTGCGTTAAGTATACTACGTGAAGACAATAAAAGAAATGCATGCATTAATACTTTAAAGTGAATTAACGGAGGTTCTTCTAAATACACGATACTCAGGTCTCAGGTTTAAAATCCGGTAAGTAAATAAACATTAAAATTTAATAAAAAGTTAGGATTAATTAATTATCTCAGGTTTAGGTGATCTTAATAGAATAGAATATATTTATTCTCTTCAGCATATATGGTATATACAGCCAAGAAGGGGACTTGGTTTACAATGTTTAAACTTAAACTTATTCAATCTCCCACATATTATATGCGATTCTTTCACATCAGCTTCTTTCCTACATTCTTTCTTAACTATTCATTTGGCTCCCATCTCTCCCACCAATCTAAAGTTAAGTCTAACAACAAAAACTAAATATAATGTCGCGTGAGCAATATAAGCTGACAACTTCTCTTACAACTTATATTATCCTATTTTCGTAATTCCTAGCCCTTATTCCTCACTCTATCATCAATTTATCCATTACCAGCTCTTTCTTAATTATATATCTTGAAGTACAGAAATCTAAATATTCAACACATGTAATCTAATATTATATTTTTCTAATTCCTCTTTTCTTCCTGCTCCCATATTTCCCTATACGCTGTAATACTTTACCAAATATTTAAATAACATCCATCTTGTCCTGAAATCATTCCTGCATATCCTTTTCCCTAGTCCCCATACTTTCTTTGCTACCATGCTTGCTTACTTTGAACACTTTTCTTTCTTCTAAATAGGTGATTTTAATAAAAAAAAATAATAGGCTAAAAAAACGAGCACGTCGAGTGAGCAGGAGCTATGATAGAAGCATGTTAGTGCATGCAACGCGAATCTCTATGGTAGGAGCATGTTGGAGTATGTTGGAGTATGCGACGTAAACCAATTTTAAACATTTATCCTTCATTATTATAGTAATAAATAGTTAATGCCTATAATTATTATTGGCCTCAACAGTAAACTAATTTATTTTTCCGATAATAATGAATTGTATACTTGTGGTAAAACAACTGTAAGAAGAATTTTAATTCAACCTACAAAATTTGTGAACGAAATTTCAATAAAATTAATATAATCTTATTTATATAGATGACGTAAATAACACCGTCCATAGTATGATGTAAGCTGAAGATAAAGATTTCTGTTTTTTATTCCTGCACTCTCTAAACCTGCGCATAATGAAACAAATTGAAGTTGAAGTGAAACAGACATATAGTTATTTCGCTTCAACTTATTATTTAACTATTTAAGGAACGTAGGATTTATTTGAAGCTAATAATATTACTGACAGTTTTCTAAAAGAGCGTAAATATATAACCTACTTACGATTGACTACGAAGTATATATGTTCTATACGTTACAAAACGCAATTGTATTGTAATTGTTATTATCAATGTTTATTGTGTAGACAGATTGATGGTATTTTTGTAAAAACAAATTATAATATAATAGCTTTTATATATGTATATAAAATCTATTCTACAATGTGCTTTTTGTTTTCTGTTTCTCACTTTTGCTGTTTTTTTACATTTTGTCTTTTTGCATCTTATTTCGTTTTCTGTTTTTCTGTTTTTTGCCGAGATAAAAATTAATGAACTTTGGAAGAAACAGTTAAGAAATATAAAACGGTCGTAAAGATCAAAATAGAGCAAAAAATAAGAAGCAAAAAATGGGAAATAAAGAGTATATTGTAGATAAGGTTTAATAAGTATCTAATTACGCAATGTAATTTATGCAAATATTAGAGGAAAGTCGCCGATACTAACATAGATCTTCTAAAGAGACATCTTTTTTCAAAAAGTTAAACTTTGTGTTTTATTACTAAAACAATAAAAGTTATTAATTAATGAAATTCAAACAAAATTGTACGGGCATGTGAATAATTGCTTGGTATTTAGTGCGCTATGATTAAAAAGTATAAGGTTTATTTATATTACATATGTGTGTTGCAAATTCAGACATTTCGGCTAATTTTCAGCCAAAATTTACTAGAGAATATTTTTTATTAAAAAGAATGTTAAACATTTATGCTCAAAACAGAAAAAATTATTCAAAGATAATAGATAAATTTCTCTTCTAAGTTTTACATTTGAGGAGTACAATTATTAACTAATTCTTAAATTGAATGAACACATGACAGAGTCATAAGAAACAATGATACTTTATTAAAGTTTTGAAAAAGTAAACATGTAAATTACTCACTTACTGCAATCGACAATAAACACATGGAAAAAATACATACTATGAATCTAATATTGATACATATGTCAGAAATGGATAATTATTATTATTAAAATTGACTTAAGATAAAATTCAAACTTGCTTTTTTATTTTTGCTTTTGAAATTTTATGAGACATATATTAAAATATATAAATAAATTATTTATGGAAAAATTCTCCAATAAAATATTTGAATTTGCGGAACAACATTATACATGCGTACATAAATCAACGAAAACACTTTGCATTAAAATAAAAGAATTTAAGAAATTAAGTCATATACATTTACTTGTATGTACTTTATACAGACAATTTTTGCGAAGAAAAAAGAATAGGAATATGTGATTTTGTTAGTTTGATACCCATTTCTTCAGATGCTTATTTTTTATTATTTTACAAAAGCTAATTATTGCAAAATTTTAAACAATATTATACATAAAAAAAAACTGCTATATTATTTGATAGAAAACACTTTCTGATTTATACTTATATTTAAAAAATTTTATTTTTATCTTTATAAGAATTATTACAGTTCAAGAACAAAGTGATGTGATGATACCGATAAGACATTTATTTAAATAACTTTATTATGTATATTCTCCGAAATAATTAAAATATAATAATACAGCAAATTTTGAAACATCACAATAAAAATGTTCTAAAAGTGTGCTATTTGTCGTTCTGAGCAGTTTTTGAGATACATAGTTTAAAACAAGCCAATTATAGATTACGGTTAAATGGTTATCTGTCCCTGAGTCCGTACATCGATGTTAGTGATCGCGTACTTCATGGGCTTGTAGATAGACAAAAGATTGTATGCGTAAAGTCTGCATAACACTGTGAAGTGCGTGTAACATTTGTTGTAAATTAATTGATACTGTTAACAAACAAACTTAGAGAAAGGTAAATTTATAATTTATCTGAATTATATCACTACTCTGTTATTAATTTGTATACAGTATACGATAATGTTAACAAAAGATACGAGAAAATTTGAATAAAAGTTGCAATTAAGTAACATAGTATACATACATACTAGTTATTATTTCATTACAATAAAATTCTAATCTTTTCAAATTTTATTAAATAACCTTTATTTTTTTTATTCTTTTAGTCTGTATTATGTCATTACAGTGACTTATTTTTGAAGTAATTGATTAGAGATTAAACTTCGCGCGGTTGCAAACTACCTAATACTTTCATGTATTTCGATGAAATACAAAATACAGAATTAACTTATATTGCAAATACTATGTTTTAAGTAAAAGTATTTCAAATACATGTTCCCTCCAGCCCATTAAGAATTTAAAACGTATCATGAACATCGTATATCAAAAGTAATATTTACCTAATATTTTCATCTACTTGATCTATATAAGAAATAATAACTTTTTTGTCTTCTTACTTATTGTAAGAATATTATTGAACATATCTTTTTTTTATGAGCTGTTCAAAACTCATATAAAAACAAAAATATAAAGATAGAATCATGAATATTGTTGGACATTGCGCTCGTATTGTTTGACTGTAAACATACGCGTAACTCGCGCCGTATCAATTACGCAACGCAAACCTATACGCGTGCCAATGACAGTAGTGTAAACGTGTCACTCGTGTGCTGTCGTCGAATTATGACAATAGCACACAAGTTTAAAAGGGTCAATTGATACGTGACAACAATTATCCTATTTGCAATGTGCCTTTTAAATAAAGAGTTTTAAACAATTTTAATAACATCGTTGGCAACCATCGTGTTTCTGAATTATTCTTTTTATGACGAAACTTCCGCAAATCAAAGCTCTAAGAGCTTTGGGAACAATCCAAAAATAGAGCGGTATAAAAGAGACACACAGAAGTGACTCAACACAGTCAACCCGAATCCACTATAGAATCGAAACGTGAACAATCATTGCAAAGTCACTTGTTTATTTTAAAGAAGATATTGTGATCGCGCGAAGTTTTTAGAAAATCTTTACTATGGCTTGCAATATAAGCGGAAAGTGAATTGTTTGCTCCATCGCTTATAGTGGCCAAGAATGACATGAATTTAAAAAAATCGCTTGTCCCCGTAACGTCAATACTCGTAATTGCACCTTAACGGAATCACTCACTCTAAAAATGGAATCGCGATAAGACATTCACTGTAAATAGTGTACACAGTTGTAAAAAAAATTCAGTTTGACCAAATACATATCACAGTTATAATCAAAGTGATTCTGTGAACTTGAGAATGTGTGCGTGTAGTCTTAATCCCAGTTTATACTGCGGTTCAAATAGAGTATTTTTAATTTGAGCGAATACAGAGTGCGTATTAAAAATTCCGGAACGGCTAATTATCTAAAAAAATATTGACTTAATAGATAAGTTTTAAACAAAAATTGTAGGACTTAACAAATATATTCATTAAGATGAGATGATATTTGTTTGTACTTTAGGTGACCTTTAAAAACACAGTCAAGATCATCAAAAAATATAAGAGTAAATAAGGATTTCCATTAAGATTTTTTGGATAGAGATTAAAAATAAAGTCAATTGCAAGTACAATCGGTTAACCTCAACCATATTTAATTGTATATAGTACTCGGGTGGGAACTGACTGACTGATTAAAGTTCTTTTCAAAGTCAGTAAAAGAAGGACTTTAATATCCGCGACAGGTATATACAAATAACATACGAGTTGAATTAATTTGAAGTTAATTATTTGTATTATTATCAGTTGAAAATGTCTTCGAAAGTTTCAAATCTTAAAATGTACATATTAATACGCGAGTTTAATGATATATAAAACTTTAAGTGAATTTAAAACAGTGAAATAATTAAATACTTTAATTAAAGAGGTTGTTTGATCAACTATTGTCCCTGTGCCAATCACGTACAATGAGTACAACAATGCATTAATTTATATACGTTACATCGCGCTTGATTATCTGGGTATATGTGAAGTGTATGTGTATTTTGAATATCCATATTATATATTTGTAGAAAAGACTTATATGAGACAATCATCATGCATAGAAAAGCCTATATAGAGAAAGTGAAGAATCCCAGAGCGGATGCTAACTTCTTCAGCATATTAACTTTTTCGTAAGTATGGATAGCAAATGACGAATGCTATTTATGATAGATGAAACTAAGAACAAAGGTAATGCGATTGAGGGAAAAGTTCACAAAGTGTATTGACTTGATATATAAGATTCGAAAATTTTCTGTCTAAGAATATAACAAGTGTAAAATACATACTTTAATTACATTTGTATAGCAATGTACAATTTTATATTTGTCTGAAAATTTGTAATTTGGTAGACGAATATTTATCTTGCTGGCGTCAAGTTTTACGAGAAGAAAATTATCCCTAATTATTTTGCACCATATTTGATTGTTAATGTAATGACGCGGTTTCTCTATTGATTTAAAAATAGAAAGAAGGATGCAAATTAATTTTGTCAGATAATATGTTAATCGATAGTATCTTTGAAAATAAAAGAAAAAATTAGTATTCAAACGAGAAAGACAAAATGCAGGAATTGGAAATAGCGGATGGCTCATTCGATTAAAACGTGTTTGCCTTGCTTTTTTTCTTCGCAGTTGGATTCTACGCATTTTCTGGGTGGGTTATCGTCGAGATCTTGAAGTAACTGATTTATACACACCGCTTAAAGAGCATACAAGTGATATTCTTGGTGTTAAAATAGCGAAAGCCTGGGAGAAGGAATGGAAGGCGTACCAATGTCGGCTGGAGCTAGTTGCGAAGGGCAAATCACAGAAGGTCAAGGAGCCCAGCCTGATGAAGGTCCTCATCACGTGTTTAGGTTTCAAGACCCTACTGTGCGGAACTTTTTTGGCCGTTATAGAAACCTTACTCAGGTACAACCTCCCTTTTATTTCTTACCTAAAAATTTTACTATAAAGTTTCATCTCAATTTTTTATACTTCTTGGATTGGCGATGTTTTGACGATAAAAAAAACGATACAAATTGCAAGTAATTTAATCCTGTGAAATTAAATCTTTCATTCAGCAGTTTTTTAATATTATTAATAAAATTTCTGTTTTTAAAATTGAAAATATATAAAGATTTAACCAAGTAGAGATATAATTAAATAAATATTTAAATAAGTGATATAATTGTATGTTCAGAATTTCACGAAACAATGCAATAATTATTATAATTTTAAAATTAAAACCAAATTAAAATTCACAGATTTTTATAATCTAGAATCTAATTTTTTAAATCATTTTTAATTTACAAATGTCTAAAATTTTAAACTTTATGAGTAATGAAAATTATAATTGAACACAAAGTTCTTTTTTAATAATAAATAATTATCTAATAAAGTGATAATATTTCTAAATGTTCTCATATTCTAACGAATTTTCTTTGTAGAGTGGTGCAACCATTATTGTTGGGTCAAATGTTGCTCTATTTTAACACCACGGACATCGACAAGTTCTACGCGTACAAATGCGCCATCGGCATTATTTTGTGCTCTGCTGTAAATGTGTTCATAGTTCATCCTTACATGATGGATATGACGCATTTGGGTATGAAGATTCGCGTAGCCTGCTGTTCGCTGATCTACCGCAAGACGTTGAAGCTGAGCAGAACCGCGCTGGGCGAGACGACAATCGGCCAGGCAGTCAATCTGTTATCTAACGACGTCAATAGATTCGATATCAGTATCATATTTCTACATTATTTGTGGCTCGGACCTTTGGAGACCATCATCATCACATACATTATATTCCATTTGATCGACATCGGAGTATCATCTATTTTCGGTATTGCCTTTCTTCTGATGTTCATTCCTTTTCAAGGTGAGTAAGTCACTGCTCTGATTATTCCTATAGTAAACGTTTCTAATCTTTACAAGTCAGTTTCATCGGTTGATTATAAATTAAAAGTATCTTGATATATATGTATGACATATATGTGCCTTTTGTAAAATTAAGAATCGTTTCAATTATAAATAATTTCGCTGATGAGAAATCGTCATTTTGTTTTAATTAAAAATTCTTTCTAATCGTATGTCTAAAATTCCTCAGTGTGGCTGGGCAAGAAATCATCGGAGCTGAGATTAAAAATTGCCATCAAGACAGATGAGAGGGTGCGATTAATGAATGATATTATTAGCGGAATCCAAGCCATCAAAATGTATACCTGGGAGAATTTTTTTAGCGTGCTCATACAGAAAGCAAGAAAGTATACACTGATTATATAAACAATGATTGTATTGATTGTACAAAACACTGCAACATGATCATTAGAGATTTTAATTTCAGAAAAGAAGTTAATATCATTCAATGGGCATCGTGTGTCAGGGGTATCGTTAAGTCCTTCATTGTCTTCATAACAAGAATATCACTGTTCATTACAATATTGTCTTATATTCTATTTGACTACAAGATAACGGCCGAAAAGGTGTACGTGATAACTGCCTATTATAACAATTTAAGTTTAATTATGACTGCCTACTTTCCGCAAGGTATGCAATAATTAATGTAGCAATGTATATGATGATTATATATTTACAATGCTTTTTTTTTACTTTTTTAAATCTTTTTAATCTTTCTTTCCTTTTTTACTATTTAACACTCGATGATGAATTTCTTACTGAATTCACAGCAGAGCGACTTATGAAAATTTTTTATAATAATATTATAATATTTTTTTGGATGCAATAATTTGGTGATTGAAGCCACAATGGCCGTAATCGGATCAACAGTTATTAATACATAATTAGTCGATAACTGGGAACTATAAAAATTAAATAATTTATTGGTAGTTATAGAAGATAATTACTTAATTAACTATACAAAATATCACAACTACGGTGACGTTCTGTATTTTAATTTATAGAATAAACAAATTGATATTCGTGTAGACAGATCGTCTGATCGAATTGGACGATCTACCTACACGACTTATTAATGTTGTCCGTTGATTTTACTATATAATTGCCCACAAACACCCAGTAGGTCATACAGGATTCGGTTATTCTCTTTTTTCAATTACTATATATTTCATTTGATACTTTATGCACTTTATTATCTTAATATTATAAATTAAAGTTTCGTTTATGAATCACATCTACCGTAATTATTGTATAATACATTTTTTTATTCTTTTTTATTTGTCTTTTGTTTTTATGATAACACAGGAATAACACAAGTAGCAGAAACAATTGTGTCTATAAAACGGCTACAAAAGTTCTTAATGTACGATGAATTGACTCGTTCCGAGATCAAAGTAAAAAAGTACAATATGAAGAATAATAAGGACATAAGAGAAAATAACAAGAATGCGAAGGAGGATAACCAACAAGAGATAAAAAAAAATAATATCGGAAACTCAAAAAAAAATTTGATTGAGCAGAAGAAGAACGATGTTAGAGTCGTGGGCCAGCCAAACAATGTCGAGTATAGTATCCTCATTGAAAATGGAAATGCTAAATGGTTGGATTATGAACAAGAAGATACTCTATTGAATATCAACATGAAAGTACGTCCTGGTGAACTGATCGCTATTGTCGGCCAGGTTGGTGCGGGCAAGAGCAGTCTGTTGAACGTCGTTCTAAAAGAATTGCGATTGCAAAAAGGATCCATTCAAGTATGTTGACAATTCTTCTTTAATTAATGTCAAATATATAATATATTTAAAAATTTTGAATAAACTTGCCTATAAAAAATAAATTATTTAATCAATTTATTTTAAAAAATATACTATATAGAATTCTAATTAATTAAATAATTTTTAATCAAAATATTTATAAATTAACTAAATTTTATATATATATTATTATTATCTTTATAAATTTTTTTTCACAGGTTAACGGTAGGATTGCTTATGCCAGTCAAGAACCGTGGCTTTTTGCTGGTTCGGTGAGACAAAATATTCTATTCGGAAGAAAGATGGATCAAATTCAATACAATCGTGTGACTGCAGTGTGTCAATTAAGAAAAGATTTCAGTTTGCTGCCTTATGGTGATAAAACAATTGTAGGAGAGAGGGGTGTCAGTCTTTCCGGTGGCCAGCGTGCAAGGTTGATTTCATGGAATATTCTAATAAAACAAGATATGCTGAATTTATGGAAATGTTTAATTTTGATTTATAATCTCAGAGAGATTCTCTTATAATTGTTTTTACCTATATAATAAGGTTGTTAATCATAAATAATTCTATTTCTTGAAAAGTTTTGTGTATATATATGTATGTATTGATAAGGCACTGATAATTAATAGAATAAATTTGGCGAGAGCCGTTTATGCCGATGCCGACATATATCTCATGGATGATCCTTTAAGCGCCGTGGACGCTCATGTGGGCAAGCAGATATTTGAAGAATGCATCGATAAATATTTACGAGGCAAGACTCGGATTCTCGTCACTCATCAATTGCAATATCTATGCAATGTCGGTAAAATTATCGTTCTGAAGGACGGAGCTATCCAAGCTGAAGGGTAATTCTACTACACTTTCTATCTTTTTACTTCACCTTGTTATTTGCATAGGTTAATTACGTGCTAACATATAATAGTATATGACTGTCTTTCCGCAGATAAAAGTACAAATATCAATGTTAATTTGTTTGTAAGATGAAACAAATATTTAAAACATTGTCATTTCTATTGCTTCATATAAAAATATATATTCATCAGCACTTACGACAAGCTGGGTTCAATGGGAATGGATTTTAGTCGACTGTTAAAATACCAAGTAAATGCGGATGAGAAATCTTCTGTACTCTTCTCATCTCCTGTTAGCCGTAAAAATTCGCTCATCGCCAGTATCACGTCGCTGAGTTCCTTAATGACGAATAATACTTCAAAACAGGAACCTGAAGAGGTACAAAATTTAGAGATTTATTTTATGAATTACTTTCTAACACAACTAATATATATCTTGTTTAATTAATACTATTATTTGAAATAACTGAATTGATGAGAGTGTGTAGAAAAAAATAGTTATACTTAATGTAATTAAATTAAAACTTTTAAATTTTAAGTATTTGACACATAATTTTTATATAAAAGCATGTGTCTCGAAACCGTCTTATTTTTATCATAAAATAATTTTAGATTATAACAATAAATTATAATTAACAATGAATTTACGTTAATCGTTAATTTCAGGTGACTGAGAGGCAAACGGTGGGTAATGTTTCCAGTAAAATATTCACTGGTTATCTTCGTGCTGGCGGCAACTGGTGCATTATATTCATAGTAGCTATGCTTAGCATAGCAACACAACTAGCGGCTAGCGGCAGTGATTTCCTTCTTGCAAATTGGGTTAATAAAGAAAGATACTATGTAAGTGTATTATTAGACACTAAGTGTTGTTAAAATGATTGGAAAATTGAGATGTAATTGCTTTTCCAAAAATTTGAGAAATCTAAAATTCTATAACGAAGTTATATTTAGTGATATTTTTTACGTTAAGTTTCAAATACTTTTTTTATGTAAATGAAGCAAACAGTATACTTATTAATATCAATTATTATATTGTATTAAATAGTAATATAATTAGTTTATTAAGTCATTTTTAATCCCATCTTTGTTCAAAATTATTTTTGTTAAGAAGTTTGTGTCAATTTCGATTTAAGTAAAGAGGATTTAAAGAAATTATTGTTATTGTCGTAAAAAGTTCAACTTTTTAATAATTTAATTCCATTAAATTATTTTATTATTAAATAAAAATTTTGATGTTTTAAAATTAAAATATAAGACATTTAAAAGTAATTTTTTTTTAATGTGTGAGGAGAAAGATGTTCCTGTAGAAAGATTTTAGAGAAGCATAAGTTTCATGTTGAACTTAAAATTTGAAAATAAACTTGCAACTACAATTACTTTTTTCTACATTAAAAATATATTATTCATTACTTATATAATTCATAGATGAATCAAACAGAAGACGGTTTTGAGGAAAACATTCCCCCAAGAAGTTCCCTTACTCGGATGGAATACATCTATATCTACAGTGGACTAATCGTGCTTACTATCGGCATCACCCTTATTCGTTCATGGGCTTTCTTCTGGATGTGCTTGCGGGCCTCAATGCGCTTGCATGATCGTATGTTTCGCAGCATTAGTCGTGCCACTATGCGATTTTTCAATACCAACACGTCGGGACGTATCCTCAATCGCTTCTCCAAGGACATGGGCGCGGTAGACGAGATGCTGCCCATCGCGCTTATCGATTCTATCCAGATCGGTATGTCGCTGGTAACCGCCATTATCGTGATTGCTATCGCAAACTTATGGCTGCTGATACCTACGGTGATTGTCAGCATTGTCTTTTATTGCCTGAGAATCTTTTATCTGGCCACTAGTCATAGTGTTAAGCGTCTCGAAAGCATCAGTGAGTATCTTCAGCTAGTCTTTATAGTATAGAGACGACTTCTTCGATAGAATAAGATAAATTCGATCGCAGATTAAAATCAAGTCTCTTGAATTGGCGATGGATGTCAATTCCTAAGATAAAGTGAGTGGAATTTATAACTTTCTTTAGCCCGTTCGCCGATCTTCGCTCACCTCAGCGCGACTCTTCAAGGACTATCGACGATCCGTGCGTTTGGAATGGAAGCGATTCTCACGAAAGAGTTTGATAATTATCAAGATATTCATTCGTCCGCGTGGTACATCTTTATTGCATCCTCCCGCGCCTTTGCCCTCTGGATCGATGCTTTTTGCATGCTATATGTCACGGTGGTCACGTTGAGCTTCCTTGTGATGGACAACAATGTTATGTACGGCGGATACGTAGGCCTAGCAATCACTCAAAGTCTCAATCTTATTGGGAGATTAAATTGGTGCATGCGCCAGAGCACCGAGGTGGAGAATCAGATGGCCTCGGTGGAGCGTATTCTTGAGTACAAGTACTCGCTTATCTTTTGTATTTTTTCATGTCGTATTTATATTAATTACATATCAATTATCATGAGTCACTATTTATTTTATACTATAATATTTTAATTACAATTTTCAGTAATATATATAATATATGCACTAAAATTTATATTAAAATCGAGAAGTAAGCACAGGATTTAATTACACTAGTTTACAAAAATTTTTTTTTAAATTACTTTAGACCGGACTACGTGTGGCTTATAGATTTTTGGATGCTGAAAACGATGCCAGAAGCGAAAAAATTCTAGCACATCAGATTTCCAAGATAATTTTTTGTTGTAAATTATGTTATCTACCAATTTAGCGATCTGCCTGGATTATAAATTTCGTTCTCAAATATCATTCTATTACTGAACGTATATTATCTATTAAATTCTTAAATTCGTAATGTCTTAAATTTCTTCAAATCTTAAAATATTAAATCTCATAATGTTGAATTTGTAAATTTTCTAATTCTTGATTTTTTGAATATTTTTGCTACTTAAGATACATAACTGTTTTAATATCAATATATTTTCGTCTATTTACAAATTTGTGAATTTTAGGAAAAATTTCGGATATTTCTCAAGCATTCTAATTTCTTCAGATCGTTAAAATAACGTCTAATTTATATTTTCTGCTTTAATCTTTTTTCAGCAAAGTGGACAGCGAGCCCCCTCTCGAAAGTGTCCCCGATAAAAAGCCCAAACTCGATTGGCCACAGGAAGGTAAGATCAAGTTCAAGAACGTGTTCCTACGCTATGCGCCTTTAGAGCCGGCAGTGCTGAAAAACCTCAGCTTTGTTATCTTTCCGCGGGAGAAGATTGGCATCGTCGGTAGAACCGGTGCGGGCAAGTCATCTCTGATCCAAGCGCTTTTTCGCTTGGCTGATGTGGATGGTCTGATCGAGATCGATGAAGTTGACACAAGTCAAATAGGCTTGCACGATCTGCGTTCCAAAATCAGCATCATCCCGCAGGAACCGTTCCTGTTTTCTGGCAGCCTCAGGCAGAACCTTGATCCATTTGAATTGTATGCGGACGATCCACTGTGGCGAGCCCTAGAGGAAGTCAAATTGAAGGAACTAGGTTTGGAAACCCACATTAACGAAGGCGGCTCCAATCTCAGCGTCGGTCAGCGACAGTTGGTTTGTCTAGCGCGTGCCATTGTCAGGAACAACCCAATACTCGTGTTGGATGAGGCAACCGCGAATGTAGACCCGCGAACGGACGAGCTCATTCAGACAACAATCAGGAGGAAGTTCGAAAAGTGTACGGTGCTGACGATTGCTCATCGACTCAACACTGTCATGGATAGCGATCGCATTCTTGTAATGGATGCTGGTAACGCGGTGGTGAGTGACAATTCTTCTTTATGATCTTATTTTTCCATACATCTAAGTAGATTACGAACTTTTTCTTCATTTTATGATTATGGAAAATTAACGCAATTGCTATGATCGTAATTTAACGATAATTCTTGTAACACATTTTTTTATTTCTTATTTTAAATTATTATATACTTACATTTATTTTTAGTTTGGCTTATAAATGCATATAACTACTTCATGAGTTCTTCGAATTTTGTTTTTGATCATTTTTATGCTTTCTAAATTTATGGAAGTGAAATCTCACTCCATAAGGACTAAAATATTGAAAAGGAGTGAAAAATTTGCTCATATAATTTTCAATAAATGTCGATAGCACCTATTTTTTTGTTCTGAGATATAATCCATCAGTAAAAATAATCATTTTTACCATTACGTTATGTAAGTATATAAATACTTACATATAACGTAATGGTAACGTTGCACGTTTCAAGTAAAAGATATATGTAGGTAGTTTTTGTAACGAGAGTGCATCGTAAATTGCGAGGTTTTCCCTCAAAGTTGGACTTTTATCGTGTACAGGAATTTGATCATCCCTACGTGCTGCTACAGAGGGAGACAAGCTATCTAAAGAGCATGGTACAGGAGACCGGCACGACGATGGCGGAAGCTCTGGTCGGCGTTGCCCGCAACTGCTACCAAAATCGCGTTTTAATGCATCCACTGTGTTAATTCTTTGCCATTGCTTGTGATAAATATCAGTGATAGATCATTCCACCGATTTTTACGAGTTCTTAGATAAACTGTTTGAGATTTGAAAAATAAAAGAAAAAGTGCAATGTAGATAAAATTTGGCCCGAGAATTTAGAATATATAGCCGTTAATATGTTTACCCTGTTATTTATTTATTAGTATCTTTATTATTCTGTTTGTATGGAAATTGTATATATTCCCTTTTTTGATTATATCAAATTTTATTAGACGTCAGAATATCAATATGCAAATCAAATTTAAAATAATATATTAAGAATTAATTAAGATATACACATATATGTTTAATACATATAGTATATACATATATATTGTACATTATATGTATATATGCGATATATATAATACATTACGTATATGTATATAGAAAATAATATAGCAAGGTAAAAAGCTAAGAAATCTAAGGATCCGATGCAGATTTGAGGAAATAGTAGAAAATATTGTGCAAGCTTGAATTCGAAATTTATATGAATTCGAAACTCCAAGGAATCTAATATTTCGAAGAATTAGGAAAAAGTGAATCGGAAACTTTGGAATGCTTGAGAGATTACACACAATTGGCGAAATTCTTGTTAATAGGACAACAGATTAATAATCGTTTTGCTTCAAGTTTCATCTAGCTGTTCTTTATATTTTATTATAGTAATCATGGATTCTCTGTCACTTCAACGCGATTATCACTAATGCGTTTCATTAAGCCGCGTATACATGACGAACGATTGAAAAAACAGCGAATGCAAAACTTTGTATTATTATGTGTTACACAAAAGTCGCATAATTTTAATTGCTATGTGCAATAAACATTGAATTTGATCGAATGCTAATATTTGGTGCAATCAAGCAAAAAAATAAACTACTTACAAATACAAATATAAATGTCCGAATATTCGCGTTTGTTCACTAGGTGGGTTTGTGGCTTTATGCAGGAGGCAATCAACAAAGACCGAGTAAATTGCGATCCAACTGTAATTACAGTATATTTTAATACTAAGTCATTTTAAAATATCAGTTTGAAATATCAGGAAGAATTAAATTGGAACTATTGGGTCATCGATATGTCTTATCGTCAGCAAGCTATCATAAACATTTCTAGGAAACAATTTTTTGTATACATAATATTTACGCCATTTGATTATGTCGTTGATAAAAATATGACGCAAGTCAGCATTAAGATTAGTGTTAAAATTTTAAAAATACGTAACATTGTTTTAAAGCATTTAATAACTGTATACCCAGTATGAACATTAAAAAATGATGAATTATATATACCTTTTAAGAAACAGTTTGCAATATTTCAGTAATATTGCAACAACGTTCACAAATACTTCTTCTTCGAAATCGTTCTACTTTTATCTGAAACATTTTTTTGTATCTTTCACATTTTTCGAGACATTTACCTAGGTAAATTAGAATGAAACACCCTGTATAGTATACGTAACGTATACTATAGCGTTTCATTATTCAATAATAGCATTGAACGCAGCTGTTTGTTTGCTTACGTATACATTAATGACTTATGCCTATTTTAAAGTATTTTTATTTATCATTGCATTTTTTTTATTATAATTTAATTTTGAATTGAGATTGATTATAAAACCTTACAATTCTAAACTAAAACTTTCGCAGCATTTTTAATGCTTTCGGCAATGCCATTATATGGCATTCTATGACAAGGTTGATATTGTTATCGATAATTATATATTATTAAGTTATATGACTTTAAAAGTTAGCTATATTGTGACGTGTCAAAAAACCATTCAAGTTTGCTTTATCTATAAGGCATAGCATGAAGTTAGTCGTATAAAAACTTCCAAATAGTAAGAGAAATAATAAGTTTAAAAAATATTGTGGTCATCGGATCTAACAGTGGTACTTACGTAAGTTTTTTTACTAGTATGATATATAACTCAAATAATAATACAATTATAACTTTAAGTAATAATATAATACAATTTTTTCTTATTTTTGAAAGAATATTTTAATATATATTTTGGTATATGATTAAATATACGTTTATATAACTTCATTAATAGAAAAAATACTTATTTGTACAGATAAATGCCTAGAGAATAAAGATAAGGCTAATGAAATAAAAAATAGAAATTGGTATAAAATAAAAATTAAATATGAAAAATAATATAAGATACAACAGTATCTAAACTGTTCATAAACTTTTCGATTTAATTAAAGACAAAAAGAGTCAAATATAATTAGTAAATCTGCAGGTAAATTTAATATATATATATAGAGAGAGAAAGAGGGAAAAGCTTGAAATACTTGTACAAACTAGTTAGTAAAAAGTGTCAAGTTTGGATATTTATTTCACATTTAATATTAAATTAATTATTAGCTAATGTAATTTTAAAATCTCATAACTTACTTTAGCACTATAAAAAAAATAACAAAAAAGTAACAAATCGTTACTTTTCTGTGGTAACGCGCACAACCCTGCTGAAAAGTAATGATTAATTATTTTCAATGTTTTTCACTGTATTCTTTCTCTCTTTCTCCATATGCAACGTCGAGGATATAATCGCAGCATGAGCATATATATGTACATATATATATAAATGTGAAGCGTATTATACTACATTGAAAGTTCATTATTGTACTTTTGCAGAAAAGTTGTCCTGTGAGACAACGTTATTATGGATAGAAAAGTGTATACTGCAAAAGTAAAGAATCCCAGAGTAAACGCGAACATCTTCAGCATATTAACATTCTCGTGAGTACAAAAAGCTAACGACGAATACAATTCCTGACAGATTCTATTTTAGAGATAAGACTAAGGGAAGAGGTAGCAAGCTTCAGAGAGAGATGATTTTATGTGTAGTAAGATTTAAGTTTCTGGTCCAGGGATATAAAAAAAGTGATAAAATGAAACAAATACTTTTATTCTTTAATATGTAATAAATATATGATAACTCTATTTCAATGCATTTTTAGAAAAAGATAACACTACAGACGACACCGATCAATTTTTTCCACGCAATTGGACTTTAATTTTAAAAATATAAAGTAGTCATTAAAACCCAAATAATAATTAAATTATTTTAAAAATATTTTTAGTGAATAAAACATTAATTTTCCATTCTAAAAATGTATTGAATTAAAGAGCTAAATTATATTACAACACAAAAATGATTTTTAAATTATTTCTATTATTTTTAATAATTCATCACATTTTGTATTAATCTATTATGTAAAAACGATTTTTTACGTATTTATGCCTAAACTTTTGAACCTTACCATATACCTTCATACATACATCGATATATCAATGTCGATGTCTATACACAATAAATAGGATATTACGTTGTTTTGAATATTCATAGAATATCGAATTGTAATTGAGTATGGGTAAAAAAGCATATAATAACTTAAACAATATTAAATCTTAAATAACTTAAATTAATAATTTAAAAACTGAACGATTTGTGGATGGTTCGTGCGAGTAAAACGTGTGTGCTTTGCTTTTCTTCTTTGCAGTTGGGTTTTACCAACTTTTTGGCTAGGCTTTCGTCGAAATCTTGAAATAACTGATTTATACACACCGCTTAAAGAGCATACAAGTGGTATTCTTGGTGTCAAAATAGCGAAGGCATGGGAGAAAGAATGTGAGGCGTATCAATGTCAACTGGAGCAGATCGCGAAAACTGGGTCACAGAAAAAAGTCAAAGAGCCCAGCCTGATGAGAGTCCTCATCAGGTGTTTCGGTTTCAAGATTCTACTATACGGGATTTCAATGGCCGTTATGGAGATCCTGCTCAAGTACAACTTTTATTTCTTACCTCGAAATCCATTTATGGAGTCTTTTATTCGAAGTTTTGACATTTCCTGCATTGCCGGTATTTTAATGATATAAATATATTCATATAATTACAAGTTCAGAATTTTTACGAAGGAATCCAATGATTATGACATTTATATTATATTTTTTACATTTATATTAAATATATTTAACAAAAATCGTAATTAAAAATTATTAAATCCCTTTTTTGCAGAAACTTCTGCAAATTACGTTTAAAAAATTAAAATATATTCCCTAATTTATAATAAAACTTAACTTGAAAGTTATCAAAAATTACCAGAGTCTATACATTTCTTTTTGGATACTGCAAGTACCGATTTGTTGTTACCTTAAAACTGCTATATTCTTATGACAATGTGTCTTATGTAAACTAAAATTGAAAAATACAAAAACCCTAATTTATTTATACTATACATTAATCGAATTGACAGCACTTTACCATAAATTTCTTAGAGCAATTAATAATTATCAAATAACTTATTAAATTCATCTAAATTAGTAATAATGCTTCTCGTATGACCTAATAAATTTTCTCTCTTGATACAGGGTGCTGCAACCATTATTAATAGGTCAGATGCTGCTTTATTTTAACACTACAGATGTCGATAAGTACTACACATATGGCTGCGCTGTTGGCATCATTTTATGTTCCTTTATAAATGTATTCGTCTTCCAATTGTACATGATGAGTACTGTGCATATAGGCATGAAGATCCGCATAGCTTGTTGCTCGCTAATTTACCGCAAAACGTTAAAGATGACTAAAACCGCGTTGGACAAGATGACGATTGGCCAGGCAGTCAATCTGCTGTCCAACGATGTCAGCAAATTCGACATCAGTATCACATTTCTCCCTTATCTGTGGTTCGGTCCCTTAAAGACTATCATCATCACATACATCATGTACTATGTGATCGACATTGGAATATCGTCTATCATCGGTGTCGCTTTTTTACTGATGTTCATCCCTTTTCAAGGTGAAAAAATCATTGCTCTCTAATCATTTTTAGCAATTAAAGTAATTAAAAGTGATATGTACATTTATGTTTTGTTTGCAAAATTTGTAAACGTCTCAGGAATTAAGAATAGTTTAACAAATTTTTATGCGTATTTTATATTCAATTGAATTCAGTTAAGTAAAATTTTTTTTCTTAAATTAAATTGGATTTAAATGAATTAAATGGAATTAAGAAACTACATTTTCTATTCAGAATTTCGATCTGATCATTATTCACGGTGCATAAAAAAGCAAATATTATTTTTAGATTGAAGGGCATAGGAATGTACTTCATATTCTTATACTCATACGTAAATAAAAGTGTATTTAGATTAAAAAGAATTTATTTTATCATTCGCGAATGCGTATTTCTGCAAATTTTAATTTATTTCAATTTATTTTAATTCATTTTCATTTTTTGGGGTTTACATTATAAATAATTCCACTAACAAAAGTTATCTTTTTGTTGTACCTAAGTTCAGCTTTTGAGAAATTTTGACCACAAAAAACTTATTATAAACTGTGCGTCTTTTCAAATTTTTTCTCTAAATACTAAATTTTAAAATTTCTTTTAAAAATTACTAAATTTTTATTACTACATTTCAAAATTTCTAGGCTTATTGTTAAATTTTTAATTATTGAATTATATTAATTAAATAACACATATTGTTCAACAAATCAATAGAGTTACTGATTATACTTACGCCTTGTTCCTAAAATTCTCAGTATGGATGGCCCAAAAGTCATCAGAGTTGAGATTAAAAACTGCTATCAGAACCGACGAGAGGGTACGATTGACGAATGAGATTATCAGCGGAATCCAAACCATCAAGATGTATACCTGGGAGAATTTATTCAGCGCTCTTATAGAAAAAGCAAGAAGGTACGTATATTATTACGTTCTTGCTATTATCAATATTAGACAAAGATAAAATGATTCATTGCATTATACTACATTGTATTATCTGTATTTCGGTAAAAATTCAGATTAGGGGAGCATCCCCCAATGACCTTGACCTTGACATATGTTGTCAAAGTCATCACCTTGAATAACCTCCAACAGATTTTAGCAATCGCTCGTAATTCGTTAAAAAGTTATTAACAAAGAGTTTTGCTATATAACACAAAAAATCTATACTTTAAAATAAATTCATGAAAAGGCAAATAACTCTATGTACGCAGGGAGTTGTAGGTATACACGCAAAGCGAATTTTATCCCATCTCTCCTTCTGTCTAGAGGAATATATACCATATATTTAGAACATAAACATTTTTGCGAAGTAATGAATGATACTGTTTTTTTTATCAAAATTTGGTATTCTTGCTAATAACGTATCATTGTCAGTATACTTTTATACTCTCTAAAAATCGTGAACCCATGTAGAATCTCGCTATGTGTTGTAAAGTGTATGCGTAGATGCAGTAAATTTCATTGCCCCCTCCTCCTACAAGGGAAGCTCCGCTATGAAAAAAAACTAAATAGCAAAAAGAAAAGAAAAAAGGCATTAACACTATGAAATTTATTTACAGGAGAGAAGTTAATATCATCCAGTGGGTATCATACATTAGGGGTGTCATCATGTCTTTCATCATCTTTACCACAAGAATGTCGCTATTTATTACAGTGTTAGCTTACATGTTGTTCGGCTACAAAATAACGGCCGAGAAGGTGTTTGTGATAAATGCATATTATAACAGTTTATGCTCAGTCATGGCTATTTCCTTTCCGGACGGTATGTGATCTTGATTAATTCCGAAAATATGTGATAATTATATGTAAACAATATCGATAATATTGACATTTGGAACACTTTTTGGATAACTTTACGCAAACGCTGATATATATCAAGCAAACTTATTTATTATAATAATTGTGCTAAAATTATTATAATAAATATTATAATAAAACACAATTATTATAATAAATAAGTTTGCTTGATATATATCAGCGTTTGCATAAAGTTATCTGCGCTTAACTTCTAATGCCATTTTCTTTCCAAGTTTATATTTATTATTAAATATGAGATGAATAATTATGCATTTTTATTATTTTCTATTTATCTTTATTTATGGTAATCAAGGGATGACACGAGCAGGGGAAGCGATTGCATCCGTGAAACGGTTGCAGAAATTTTTGCTGTATGATGAACTGATACCCTCCGAGATCGAAGTGAAGAAATATATTAAGGAGAATAAGACAGAGAATACAAAGGAGGATCTAATCGAGCAAAATAAAAACGACTATACAATCGCACACCAGCCGAAATATATCGAGTATAGTATCTCTATCGAGAATGGCAGTGCTAAGTGGCTAAACTATGAACAGGAAGACACTTTGCAGAGTATTAACTTGAAGGTGCGTCCTGGTGAACTGATCGCTATCATCGGCCAGGTCGGTGCGGGAAAGAGCAGTCTGTTGAACATTATCCTCAGAGAATTGCGTTTACAAAAAGGTTCTATTCAAGTATGTTGATAATTTCTCTTAAACGGTTAATGTTAAATATCTATTTAAAAAATTTAAATAAATATTGAACAAATTATTTGAATTATAAAAATAAATTTATTTATTTGTGTGTGTATGTGCGTGTATGTGAAAAATTAATTTATTTTTTTGAAATATATATATATATACTGTATTATTAGAATAAGACACAGTTTCGCGTGTTTATTTAATACATCTTATTTTATGTATGGTATATATGTATTGACAACGTCCCAATTTACTACGTTCCCAATTGAATACATTGCGATAGACCACGTTACGATTGATCACGCACATTGAATTTGACCATGTTGCAATTGATAGTATGAGTGAGTTCACATTCCAATTGACCATGTTATGTCCGTATTACACTATCGACTGGAAATTGCGTCTGCATTTGTGTTTCTTGACCAATCAGAAAGGAACTTTTATTGACCAGTAGCTTTGTAAAGACAAGCTCTTGGTCAACAGTTTCTTTCTGATTGGTCAAGTTACTTGAACTTTTTTCCTTGAGGGAAACCAAAATTTAGACTCTCATGTGATTAATGAAGAAGATAATGATCCTTTCAAATATGTTTTCACAGATTAACGGCAAGATTTCTTATGCTAGTCAAGAACCGTGGCTGTTCGCTGGGTCGGTGAGGCAGAATATTCTATTTGGACGACAGATGGATAAGATTCAATACGATCGTGTAATTAAAGTGTGTCAATTAAGGAAAGATTTTAGTCTGCTGCCTTGTGGTGACAAGACGATTATGGGTGACAGGGGTATCAGTCTGTCTGGTGGTCAGCGTGCAAGGTTAGTTTTACAGAACATCTTGATAAAACATATAAAAATTTATTCAAATTTTTAATTTTTATTCATAAATTCAGATTTTTTTCAATTAATTTTGATATTAATAAATAATTAAAGATAAAAGATACTGTATTGATAAGTTGATTATTGACAGAATAAACTTAGCAAGAGCCGTTTATGCTGATGCCGACATATACCTCATGGACGATCCTTTGAGCGCCGTGGACGCTCGTGTCGGCAAGTATATGTTTGAAAAATGCATCGGTAAATATTTAAAAAACAAAACTCGGATTCTCGTGACACATCAGTTGCAATATCTTCATAATGTCGATAGAATTATCGTTTTGAAAAACGGAACCATCCAGGCAGAAGGGTAAGATTCTATTGCACTTTCTTTTTATTTTTTATGTTCGTATTTTATTGTAATGTCGCTATAATTTCTTTGGTGAAATAAGATTGATTGAGATTGACGTTGAATTTAAAGAAAAAAGAGAGAAGGAAGGATGAAAGTATTATTTTGTAGACTAAACAAAAAATATTATTTGTTTGTTGTTGAATATTATTTTTGTTGAAAGTTTTCATTAACAACACACATTGAGAGAAATGTTTGGTACGTGTAACCATTTATTTTATTGGCATGTGACTAACACTTTTTTACTTGTTTTTTTATATTGTATTGTTCTAATCAAAATTTTGTTACTCTCTAACATATCAATAAAATGAATGATTATATGTAATAAAACATTTCTCTTACAATTAGTGCAAGTTACAATATCTATGTAGATATTTAGATATCGAGTATATGAAAAAGAACAGTATCCTTTAATGGAAATTGATCACTTTAGCTTATTAATTTAATGATATAATAAAATTGTTTTATTTTATTTTAAGGTCTTATTTATTAATATGTCAGAAATTACTGTCTCTTAATAAAAAAATGAAGAAACATACAGTAAAGAACATTTCGTATTTGTATTAAAAACAGTTCACTCAAATTCTTGTAAAAATTTTGTATTAAATTTTTTAACATATTAGAGCGTTAATTTTACATAATATAATTATAATATTTAAGTAGTTAATTATATTATTTAAATGTTAAATTGATATTTAACATTTCTTTTATGCATTATTATGCATAAGTGAGCAGATAACATAAAAATAATATATTTTAAAACGTAAGTTCTAAAATGAGTGAATAAAATTTGCGTTAATTTAACACATTACCAATGTTAATTTTACCGAAAAATCTTTTATGATTTATTTACAAACTGTGTCAGTATTACCTTTTTGTGTTTATTTTCTTAAATAATATTTATGTTATTTTCTAACTTAATCATTTTGTCTTAAATTATCACTTAAATTGATTTGGACACGTGAGATAAAATATATTAAATTTAACACCAATTTTAACATGAAAAGTTCGAATGCCTGTGTGTCTAAGCCATGAAAATGACGAAATCCAACATTTCGTTATTTTCATAAAAAAAATTCGCTTGCCTCAAGTTAATGTAAATATTTAGAACGTCGTCACTTTTATTTTTTATATAAAAATTTTTATTCTCAGTACTTATGACGAGCTAATCTCAATGGGAGTGAACTTCGGCAGATTGTTAGAAGACCAAACGAAGGCTGATAGAAAAATCTCTCAACCTTCTTCGACTCCTGTTAGTCGTAGCAATTCACGCACTAGTAACACGTCGCTCAGTTCTTTCATGACGAATAGTACTTCGAAACAAGAGCCTAATGAAGTAATTTGGACTTCTTTTCCAAACTATTTTCTGAATTATTACAACATGCATCTTATTTATCTGATATTGCAGTTTAGAAAAAATAAGTGTCTATAAGTTGTCAAAATATCAGTTTAGATATTTTATCTTTTCAAGAGAGAATAGTAATTAAATGAAGATGCCTCTCTCTTCGTGCTGATACTTGATACTCATTTTTAGCATCAAAATAAGTGACATGATTAAAATTAATGCTTGCTGTTATTCGGCACCATATTGAGTTTTATATATAATTTTTGTAATTCTTTAATTATATCATTTTTTAATTTCGATGTATGAATGTCTCAAAAATACGAACGCTATATTTTCTCATTATTAAAAATTATAGATTTTGACGTTAAATTACGGTAAATGGTAATCATTGACTTTAGGTGAATGAGTTGCGAGCGGTAGGCAATGTTTCCGGCAAAGTATTCATTGGTTATCTCCATGCTGGGGGCAATTGGTGCATAATATCTGTAGTGGCTACGCTTTTTATCCTGACACAATTAGCTGCCAGCAGCGTTGATTACTTTCTTGCACAATGGGTTAATATAGAGGAAAACTACGTAAGTATATCACTATGTATAGAGTGTTTCAAGAGGAAAAGTCGATATTCTAGTAGATGATGATATCATACATTTTAAGCAAAAGACATTTTAACTCTCTCTTGAACGATAAATTATTAAATACAAAATACATTTTTTTTTTCAAACAATAATTTTAAAATTTTACATTCAATTTCCAAATTTTAAAAATATAAATTTATAATTTAATTACAGTAAATTAAAATAAAACTTTAATAAGAGATTTAAAATTAAAATATGAAATTTCTTAGTGTGAATTTTTTTTTATCCGCAGCTCTGTTTATATAATTGTTTTTAATACATCCTTCTTAAAAAATGTGTTATTAATTGTATTGTTTGGTTCGTAGTTCTTTTCATAATAGATTAATTATTATATATTATTATATAATTTTATAGATAAATCAAACGAATGATGGCATTGTGGAAGATCCAAGAAGTCTATTCACCCGCATGGAGTGTGTCTACATCTACAGCGGATTGATCGTGCTGACAATCTGCATCACCTTCATTCGCTCGTGGGCCTTCTTCTGGACGTGCATGAAGGCCTCGATGCGTTTACACAATCGTATGTTCCACAGCATCAGTCGTGGCACTATGCAATTCTTCAAAATCAACACATCGGGACGTATACTTAATCGCTTCTCTAAAGACATGGGCACGATAGACGAAATGCTGCCTTCTATGCTTATTGATAGCATTCAGATTGGCCTTTTGCTGCTCGGTATCGTCATCGTAATCGCTATTGTGAACGTGTGGCTATTGATACCCACGGTGTTTCTCGGCTTTGTCTTTTATTACCTGAGAGTCTTCTATTTGACCAGCAGTCGCAGCATAAAGCGTCTCGAAAACATTTGTGAGTATTTTCGATTTATCTTTCTAGTACAGATACAGCTTCCTCAATGGTTTTTAATTGTAGATTCGATCGCAAATTGAAATTATTTTTGAAATCATGAATTTTAATGAATTGACAGTATATTTTAATTCTTCTAGTATACATATACATATATATTTGTGTATACATATACTATATATAAACTTAGTGGAATTTATAATTTTCCTCAGGCCGTTCACCGGTTTTCGATCACCTGAGCGCGACTCTTCAAGGACTACCGACGATTCGCGCGTTTGGAGCGGAAGCGATTCTGACAAAGGAATTTGATAATTACCAGGATACCCATACGTCAGCATCATACATCTTCTACGCATCCGCGCGCGCTTTTGGCTTCTGGCTGGATATTTTCTGCGTGGTGTATATCACGTTGGTCACGCTGAGCTTTCTTGTGATAAATAGCTATAACCGCGGTTCAATGTATGGCGGATATGTAGGCTTGGCGATCACGCAGGGTATTAATCTCACTCGGATGTTACAGTGGGGTATGCGCCAGAGCACCGAGGTGGAGAACCACATGACTTCAGTGGAACGTGTTCTTGAGTACAGGTATTCACATATTCTTTAGATACTAATGTTGTTTTTGTATATTAATTGGTTATTTTAAATAAAATGTTATTAATAAATAAAGCATTACCTTGCTAATTATATAATTTATAATTATAAATCATACTTTTATAAGTTATATTTTATTATAAATTATATTTTCAATTAAATGTTTTAAATTTTTAGTATTAAGAGCTCTAAATATTAAAGTATTAAATTCGTAAACTTAGAGATTCTTGATTAAGTCTTTTAAATATTCTTTACTATCTCAGATTCACTCTTTTAATCGATGCATTTGTACATGTTCGTAAAATTAAAAAAAAATTGTCAATATAGATTTCTTTAAAATATTTTGATTTCTTTAGATTATTAAATAACGCCTTATTAATATTGCTTCAATTTTTTTTTAAGCAATGTAGATAGTGAGCCCCCTTTTGAGAGTGTTCCGAGTAAAAAGCCCAAGCCCGAATGGCCTCAGGAAGCCAAAATCGAGTTTAAAAACGTGTTCTTACGTTATGCGCCGTTAGAGCCACCAGTGCTCAAAAACCTCAGCTTCGTCATCTTTCCTCAGGAGAAAATCGGCATTGTAGGCAGGACTGGCGCTGGCAAGTCATCTCTGATTCAGGCAGTCTTCCGTCTGGCTAACGTGGATGGTTTGATTGAGATCGACAAAATCGATACGAGTCAGATCGGCTTGCACGATCTTCGTTGCAAGATTAGCATTATCCCGCAAGAACCATTCCTATTTTCCGGCAGCCTGAGACGTAACCTCGATCCGTTCGATTTGTATCCAGACGAACCTCTGTGGCGAGCTCTTGAGGAGGTCGAATTGAAAGAAATAGGCTTGGAGGCCCACATCAATGAGGGCGGTTCCAATCTCAGCGTTGGTCAGCGACAGTTGGTCTGTTTGGCCCGTGCTATTGTAAAGAACAATCCGATACTCGTGCTAGATGAAGCAACTGCGAATGTGGACCCGCGAACAGACGAGTTGATTCAAACAACGATCAGGAAAAAATTCGAAAAGTGTACGGTGCTAACGATTGCCCATCGGCTTAATACCGTTATGGATAGTGATCGTATTTTGGTAATGGTCGCTGGCAGTGTCATGGTAAGTCAATTTTTTATGATTTTGGCATTTATTATGGAAATTTTGCGATTCCGATAGCCTGTACACGTATAGGTTTTGACTTGTTGGGATGTCACGTAAATGTTTTATAATAAGTGATATGCATCGAACTAAAGGACATAATCATAAAAGTGGAATAAAAAACAAAATAAAAAGTGGTTCGCAAATTGCAAGATCTTTTTTCAAATGCAAACTTTTGTCATGTGCAGGAATTCGATCATCCTCACGTGTTACTGCAAAAGGAGACGGGCTACTTGAAGAGCATGGTTCAGGAGACTGGCACGACGATGGCGGAGGCTTTGGCCAACATCGCCCGTGACAACTATCAGAATCGCATATTTACGTCTCTTTAATGTACTCACAACGTAAATTTCTTGTAATTGCGTCTCATATGCACCGTAATATATTGCAGCATAAAATTCGCTGATTTTTTAGCAACTATTAAGCAAAATCCTTCGAATTTCAGCGAAATGTAAGAGAAAAAAATTGCTGATACGAAATTATGTATAATTTTAGTATTTAGTATTACGTATGATTATTTATAATACATATCAATTTTTTTATATTTCTCCAAACTAATTTCCTCCAAAACAAATAAAGTAAAAATTATTCTTACGTTTATTTGTAACGTCTTTTCATAGTCATTATTATTTTTATTGCCCTAAAAAGTAATTTTACAAAAAAAAGAGGAATGTATGAACATATAGAGACATATTTCATATATAATTATACATATTTATGTATATTTATGCATGAAAAATCTTTTACCAAAATTGTTCTTGATTATTTATACGTATATATGTAAAATTTGCTTTTATATATTAAAACACAAATGAAAATTAAAATTTCATTTAATACTTGTGATTATAATATTTGATATCTTTATTAAAATTATAAGTACATAACACACAAATATTCCTTCTTATGCAAGTTGGCAGTCATCGAGGTCGAACGTGTTTATTAATTTCTCCATCGTTACGGTGCGCTGTTCTTGATACTTTTATCTTTTAATTAATTTTCTATATATCACTTGCCACGTGTGGTTTTTATTGGCATGTGATGTGTAGTGTTATGGCAGATCAACGTGTCAAAGCACCAAGTGCTTCGACTATGTCTGCTATTTGCGTGAATAGCTTTGTTGCAATTTATACACTGTTTGCTGCAGTTCTTCGGTAAAATTTAAAATATGTGTCTTATGAAGACAAGTTTATAAGCTTTGGGCTCGCTACTTGGACTCTACCTTTGGTTCTCGCCTGTGATTGTTTTGGCCATTCTCTCGATAGGTCAGTCGATTCGTAATTTAAATTTTGTTTTAATTTATATTTTTTTTCCTTCCTCACGATTAATTAATTTTAAATATGGTCATGTATAATTTTTAGTTAATATCATATTTCATACTATCTGACATTCAAATTTTCATCCTATTGAAAGCACGAAGAATACGGACTGATATACTGTCAAATTTTACAGGATAACGGATTTTGTATTAATAGTATATTTGTATTAAATTGTAAAATTGAAAATTGTAACATTGAAAATGACCCGATCGGAGTCGAAACGTCTGTTAATTTTGTAACTACATGTTATAATATTAAAGTTTCGATTTTTATATATTACTGGCTCTTTGCCCTTTATTATTTTAATTATTATTATATTTTATTTTCTGTGTTGTTCTATCTCATTATAACATTTTTTGTTCGTTTATTATACATTTATTAAATTTTGTTTATATCTTTATAGTATAACCATATATTTATGATTATTTATGATACTCGTTATGACAGTAACAAATATTGTTATTGTCGTTGCACAGATCTTAAACATAGTAAAAAAGATGCGCAACGAAATATTGTATAACAATATCGTTACTGCCATGCCGATTACACAAATACAGGGGCAGTACTCCTGTATTCGGTAAATGTTTACAATAACGGAAGCAGCTGCGATCTTCTTGACCTTGACATATGTTGTCAAGGTCATGACCTTGAATAACCTCCAACAAGTTTTAGCCGTCGCTCGTCCTTGGTTAAAAAGTTATTAACAATCATAGTTTTAAAACAAACGTATTATTTCTACTATACATGTATGATATTTAATACTATTCTACACCTACCTTGTTCAGAAACGTTAAACTTTCCACGCGAGGAAACTTTTACCACCCTTCCCCCCGGCTATGTGAAGTTGGCCCCCCCCCCACTATTGCAAATCTAAAAATGACCATGACCATTCGTTTGGTGGTCGTTTGGTGGTGTTTGGTAGTCCATTCCGGACGTTTGGTAGTCAAAGATATAATGAGAAATGTCAAAAAAAGAAGAACGCGCGTGAAGTTAGCCCCCCCATTTCTAAAACTCGGCTTTGCAGACTGCAAATGCAATAATGGCTGTAAGCAATCGTTTAGTGGTCGCTTACTGAGATTTGGTAGTCCATTCCCGACGATTGGTAGTCGAAATCATAACCGGAAATATTAAAAAAATGATATACGCGCGTGAAGTTAGCCCCCCTATTTTTAAAACTCGGCTTTGCAGACTGCAAATGCAATAATGGCTGTAAGCAATCGTTTGTTGAGAAGTTGTTGAAATTGCAAAATTGTTGAGAAGTGATATACAGATTCGATTTCGAGATATCAATAATGACAGCACCAATTTTATTCGGACTGTCGCAATATCTCAAAAATTTACATCGACATTAAAATAGTTGAATTTTTTGCGATTTAAATTTCTAAACAATTATAATCAAAAATTTGTTGACAAAAATTCCTGATAAAGCTGATAGTACTGCGAAGTTGGTAGCAATGCAATGTTTACGTAGTGATGTTCACGCGGACTTGCGACCTGTTATATATTTCTATCGTATGTTTCATTCTAAGTTCTGGGTGCTGTTCAATGTTACCGCATCGCTTGATAGGTTTAAAACTTTAGCTAAGTATAGATTACAGTTAACCGACACTCAAATGCGCACTTAACGTCTTTTTAGACATTAAATTTTGTAAGAATGTCTGCACAATACTATGTATTGTGTGTAATATTGATGCAAATTAGATGATATTATTAATAGACAAACGTAATGAATGAAATCAATTTATCAGAAAATGATATCGCACTTGTTTATTATATTATTTTTCTAATAAACAAATTGACGTTATTTATCGTCACTTTGATATAAAAATGTTTTTGCTGAGTTGTGTACGGTAATATTAATAGAAGATATAAATAAGATTTGCATAATCGCGTATATAATCAAGACATCTATGACATGAAATTTTTTATTGTCTTTTGACTCTAATCAAATAAAATAATTTATTCACCATTTTTTGTTATTTTTTACTTTTTATTATTTATTCTTTTATTCTCTCAAAATAAATGCATCGATCATATTATAATTTATGTGATAAGTATTATTACTTCTTACTTACTGTGTAAAATGCACGTGCATATGATTTATAATTATGTGTACTTTATTAGGATCTTAAGTCGTGACTAAAATGACTACCTTAATAAGAATAAAGGGCTGCACACAATCAAAGAATAAAGATATAGAATATTTAATATATGAACAGAAACAGAGAATAAGAATTTCAATAAATCCGAATACACAGTTTCTGTATTTTAAGTTAAAATTCTTATTCTCTGTTCTTGTTCTTGTTCTTGTAGGTATTCGTATATTCTTTGTTTCTATATACCCTGATTTTGCGCAGCTCCTTATTCTTATTGAAGCAGCCATATTGGTCAAGAGTTAAGATCCCAATGGTTAAATAATTTTATTTGTTATTAAATTACCATTGATTTATATTAAATTATTTGGACTTAAAAAAATTGTGCAAAACTATGAACTAAAAGTTTAATTCTTCGTCATTATAACATATATCCAGCATTTTTTCCATAACAAGGTTCATATCATTAACTATAATTTTATCATTATCTATATAATTTTAAAAATTGACTATTCCCGTAAAAAAAAAGTACCATTAAGGTTTCTGAATAGTCACTATACTATATTAAATCATGACATCAGAGGCGAGAAACAACACCTTAATTTTTGTTGTGTGCCATTTGTAAACAAAAAGGCAATTTGGGTAAAAAGAATAACAAAATCGCTCTAAAATACTTTTAAAAAAAAGATAAAGGTTACGCTTATCTCTCCTGACAGTCAGTAAATAATCATAAAAAATGATAAAAAGTATGTATAAGTGAAAATAAGCTACGCTTTTGTCATTTTCTACGATCATTTACTGACTGTCAAGAGGGGATAGCCCATTTATATAGTTGTTGTAAAGCCATTTCATCATTTTGTTTCATCCAAATTGTTTCTGTTTACAAATAGCACGTAACAAAAATTAAAGTTTCGTTTTTTGCTTCTGACGTCAAGATTCAATATGGCTGTGGTGACTATTCAGAAGCATTAAGGTTTGCTCTACTTGTGATAAGACGTTAGTCATAAAAAGACTTCGAAATAGTAAAGGTGGATAAAAAATCGTGGATATCGCTTTATATTTTTAAAGTAAATACTCACACTCTAAAAATTGTTTACACAATTCTTTATTGTGATCACAACGTAAGTATAACAATAACAAATTATTTTTTCTTATAATATTGTGAGAGTAGTTTATATCCATATTTTTATTATGTGAATGAGTATAGTTTAACTTCCTTAAAAAAAATATTTATTTGTTGAGACAGGTAAAAATTAAAATAAAGCCAAATCATTAAAAATAGAAACTAATATATAAACAATTTTTTATTAAACTAATTAATTATAAAGTGTTTTAAGCACTTATCGTCATTATTATTCATTGCACTTATCCTTGACCAATAATTTACAAAAATAAAAGCAAACAATAGAAAAATTAATATATAATATGAAATATCATTCAACCGATACGAACTAAAATAAATGATTTCAAAACTAGAACATTTAATTGTTTAAATAAAATAATTGCTTACGCAATATACATCAACATATCAACATAAAATAATTTTCTAAAAGGGGGGAAAATACAACTTTTATTTTTTCATGACTGTTCAGAGATTGTTTCATTCTTACATTTTTTAATCTTTTTTTTCATGAAAATAAAAAATTATTATAATAATGTCACTATTAAAAAAAAATTAAATTTGAAGTACAGAATAAAATATTTTTATTCACATCAATCGTTATTATGAAATTGCTATCAGTTATATATAGGATATTTCAATCATTTAAAAAACTAATTCAGAAAGAGAGAGAGAGTTAATCAAAATTGTGCAGTGGATGCATTACAAGTATACTTATATTTATTACGCGAAATTTACACACTTCACAATTTCGTATACTACCGAAAACATTTAGAAGTACGTAATTGTTTTTTATCATCTATTGTAGATATAGATTTTTTCTGCGTTGTCGGATGAAATTGCGGAGTGTGCACATGTACGTACATATAATGTATATTTGAGTATTAAAAACCAATTATACTATTATAATTATACTATTATAATATTTGCAGAACAAATTTCTGTAAGACAACGCCGTCATGGATGGAAAAGTATACACCGAGAAAGTTAAGAATCCCAGAGCGGATGCTAACATTTTCAGCGTCTTGACGTTCTCGTAAGTACATTACATTTTACATTTTTGTCAGTCTATCTAATTTTATACTTTAATAGAGAATGTCACATTTTTTTTATTTGATAATATTAAATCTTTATGGATATATAAAATGTTTAATTAAAGTTTAAAAGGAATAGTGTTATTTTGCGCTTTAATTACAATATATAATACTTTTTTAGAATAGTTATTTTTCGGAAGAATTATCGTAATAAATGGACAAATAGCAAATAAAAAATAGATACTCTTTGATTTAATTTTACATATTATATTAGTAATTGGTAGTTTAAATTTTGGATGATAAGCAAGCTAGGCGCCCCCGCGAATCAGATATGAATCTGTAAATAATGTCAAGATCATCTTGAATCGTTTCGAAAATATAATATTCAGAAATAAAATATCCTAGAAAATAAAAGTGAAAATGAATATTCTAACGAAAGAAGCAAAAATCAAGAATTGGATAAATTGAACCTGATTTATGCGAGTAAAACGTGTGTCTTTTGCTTTTCTTTTTCGCAGTTGGATGCTGCGTCTTTTTTGGGTGGGTTATCATCGGGATCTTGAAGTATCTGATATGTATACACCTCTTAAAGAACATAAAAGTGATATTCTTGGTGATAAATTAGCAGCGGCCTGGGAGAAAGAATGCGAAATGTACCAATATCGACTTAATCAGGTCACGAAGAGCGGGTCACATAAGAAGATTAAGGAGCCTAGTCTGATGAAAGTTCTTATAAAATGTTTTGGTTCCAAAATTTTACTATATGGAATTTATGTGACTTTTTCAGATATCGCGTTCAGGTACTCCCTCATTTCTCATCTAAAAATCTCCTCTTATGGATTTTTATCCTAATTTTTATTATATTCTTTTACATTGGAAAATGTCACTGACAATTCTTAAGAGCTATAAAACAAAAATTATTTCAATAATATTGCAGCAACATTGCAACGTCCAAGCAATATAATATTACATACTGTACAGTATTTCAATAATATTGCTGCAAGCTTCTGTGCTGTATGGGTTTTTATGTAACGTTTAGAAAATATTAATAAAAATGAAAATTTTATTCAGAAGTGTGAGAAAAGTAATAGAAATGTTCCATGCACGTTTTATACGGAGTGTTCGGATAGCGTATATTGATACTCCAAATTGCTACGAGTTAATAGAAATTATTGTAGTTCCTAAGAAGCGTTAAATCTCTTTTGTTTGCATTTTTTTCACGTTTCCAGAAATTTTTAATTGTTATCAGGGGAGTGTTGCAGCCGTTATTGGTAGGCCAGCTGTTGCACTATTTTAACTCTATGGACGTCGACAAGTCGTACGCATACAGCTACGCCGTCGGCATTATTCTCTGCTCCGCTGTTAATGTGTTTTTTACTCATTTGACTTTGATGGGTCTTACGCATATGGGCTTGAAGATTCGTGTCGCCTGCTATTCACTGATCTACCGCAAAACGTTGAAGATGACCAGAACCGCCCTGAACGAGACGACAATCGGCCAAATAGTCAATTTGCTATCTAATGACATCAATAGATTCGAGGTCTACCTCATATTTATCCATTCTCTGTGGTTCGGACCTTTGGAGGCTATTATCCTCACGTACGTAATGTACCACGTAATCGACATCGGAGTATCGTCTATCATCGGTGTCGCTTCTCTGCTAATGTTCATCCCTTTCCAAGGTAGAGAAAATTATTGGTATGAACATTTGTAGTAATGAAAGTAATCGGGGAACCGAGTTAAAAAACTTGTTATGTATTACATATGTATGTATGTAATATATGTGTGTCGTCTGTAAAAGTTAAAATTGTTTAAGTTATAAGTAATTCTACTAACAATCATCTTTTTGCTTTATTTCAGTTGCCAATTTTGAAATCTTTTTTTAATATTAATTTTGATAAATATAAATTAATAGATAAATTATTTTGATACATAATAATATAGATTTTAATAAATAATAATTTAGAAATAATTGATAAATTAAATTAACTTTGATTTGAGATAATAAAATTTTATTATCTTTAAACTGTAAATTAAATTTGTAGGCTAAAATTCTTTTAAACATTAAAATTAAAAAATGTTTCGTTTCCAATTTTCTAAATTTTCAATATATTCCCAAAGTTTTAAATGTATTGTTAAATTCGTAATTAATGAGTCTTTTCTCCGCTTAATTAACACATGTACATCGTTTAATTAATGTTTTAGGAAAATCATTGAAAATTGCTTCTCTAATCCTACTCCATGTTTTGTTTTCGGAATTCCTCAGTGTGGTTGGCCAAAAAGTCGTCCGAACTGAGATTACGGACCGCTATTAAAACCGATGAGAGGGTACGATTGACGAAAGAGATTATCAGCGGAATCCAGGCCATCAAGATGTATACCTGGGAAAATCCGTTCAGCACCCTGATAGAAAAAGCAAGAAAGTTAGTACCGCTACTTACACTGATTACACATGTAACACTCATATTTTGTTAAACGTTGAGTTAAGTGATCATAAGAAAAATTATTTAGTGCAAAAATTTATTATCGTCATTTATTAGTCTTTATTACCTCTTTGTCGTTGAGGCATTTTTATGCGTGTATATTATTTTAAAATATTAAAAAACGTAATTTTTTAAATAAAAAATTTCGCAATATATAAATATCTCTACTTTTTTCAATATCTCATATATTTAAATATATGATCAATTTGGATATATTAAATATACATTTACAAACGTCATTTATTTGTAATTTTAAAATTTAAATGGCCAGCCCTTATTTATTCTTAATGTTAAGACACGCGTCCAATAAATTCTGTTTATATATTTCTAGATCAGAAGAAAGAAATACAATTTTGCAGAAATAAATAATTAATACTACGGAATTTATTTGCAGAATGGAAATTAATATTATCCGGTGGGCGTCGTATATCAAAGGTATCACCATGTCTTTTCTCATTTTCACTACGAGATTATCACTGTTTATCACGGTGCTGGCTTACACACTATTCGGCTACAAGATAACAATTGAGAAGATATACATGCTAACCGCTTGTTACAGCTGTTTATCCTTCTCCATGGCTACACTTCTTCCACAAGGTATGTGGTAATTAATGTAACAAAATATGTGATAATTTTAGGGAAAGGTGATAATATGGACCTTGTGTTATTTTTCTTGTGCAATTATGTGTTTCTTGTTTTATTATGCGTTATAGTTAATAATATTATTAACGTTAACTTATGTTAATCTATGTAAGTTATTAAATACATAGGAAATGACTTCTGTTAAGCTAGCACCTTCCACAAAAATTAGCACCGAAATTAAGTGATAACTATGTTAATTATAATTTTTTGTGCTCAAACGGTTTAACAGAAACTCATAATTGAAAATGGAGGTGTTAATTTAATGCCAAGTTAATATTCTCTTCATTAAATTATATATATACCTATATATATAAATTATATATGTATATATATAAAATAAAAAGGTTAGTATATATACACGGTAAAATTAAGTGGTTTTTACGCCACACCGAGAAGGGTTTTTAAGGATTAATAATCACAACTGTCAACAAATTATTTTATATTTATATTTTTAATTATTTATCTGTTTTGTCCAATTTAGGGATAAGAGGGGTAGCGGAAATAATTGTAACTGTAAACAGGATAAAAAAGTTTTTAATGTGTGACGAACTGATATATTCTGAGATCAAAACAGAAAAGAATAGTAAAGAGAATAATAAGGAGGATGCTGAGAAGAATAACAAGGAGAACGCAAAAAAAACTAATCAAAAAGGCGCAAAAAAGAACGAGGAAATTGCAAAGGACGAGGAGCAGAACAGGAATGACTACACGATCAAAGATCAGCCGAATTGTGTTGAGTATAGCATTTCAATCAAGAATGGCAGCGCTAAGTGGTTGGACTATGAACAGGAATACACCTTGCATAATATAAACATGAACGTGCGTCCTAATGAATTGATTGCTGTTGTTGGTCAGGTCGGCGCGGGCAAGAGCAGCTTGTTGAACATTATCTTAAAAGAATTGCGTTTGCAGAAAGGTTTCATTCAAGTATGTTGACAATTCACCTTTAACAATTATATCCGGTCTTTTACTTTCTGGTTAACTTGTATGTGTGGTTAAAATTTCCGACTTACGTGATTTCGCAATTCTCTTCTTCTAGACAGAGGCCTGACTATGGTTATCGCGCCTTTGATGGTGATGATTGTTTTAAATATCTTTGTTCACAGATTAATGGCAAAATTGCCTACGCCAGTCAAGAATCGTGGCTGTTCTCGGGATCAATGAGACAGAACATTTTATTTGGACGGAAGATGGATCAGATTCGATACAATCATGTGATTAAAGTGTGTCAATTAAAGAGAGATTTCAGTTTGCTGCCTTATGGTGATAAAACAATCATAGGCGAGAGGGGTATCACTCTTTCGGGTGGTCAGCGGGCAAGGTTCGTTTCACAGAATGTTTTAACAAGACAAAATTTGCACAATTTAAAAAATTTTTTATTTTAATGTTAAATACCAGAGGTCCTCTTTTAGTATTAATAAATAATTAAAAATCATATAATTTTTAATCAGTATAGATAGATAAATTAAACACGAGCATCTATATAGACTAATTATTGCTGTAATTGTTGCAAAATTCCGAGCTGTTAATAATTACATATGATTTTTATTCTTATTTCTTAACATTTAAGTTAATATTGTATCTTAATTTGGTGGTCATTAATTTACTTAATTTTTTTTATAAATTTAATTATTTTCTCTGATTATTCTATATAAAAATATCTTCTTTACTTATCTTTGAAGTAAGCTTTTCTCAATAATAATAAATATTTAAAAATGTATATTTTATTATAATATGTGTTTACGTTTATATATACCTATATTATTATATATAATATACGAAATAAGAGTTTTTATTTACAATATTAAAAAATAAGATTTATATATACCATATATATAATACATGTTTTAAATTAATTAATGTAATTAATGCAATTTAATTTAACTTCTGCCTAAATAAAACTAATTTTATTAAGAAAACACAAAAAATTCATTTTTTTTTTGTATTATATATAAATAGTTAGAATTTTAGAAAAGACACATTATTTATAATATGTATTATTATTATTATGATAATACAATATTATAATAATAATAATAATAATAAGATAATATTGATAAACGGCAGAGTAAACTTAGCGAGAGCCATTTATGCCGATGTTGATATATACCTCATGGATGATCCTTTGAGCGCCGTAGATGCCCATGTGGGCAAGTATATCTTTGAAAAATGTATCAACAAATATCTACAAAGCAAAACTCGGATTCTCGTGACTCATCAGTTTCAATACTTACGCAACGTCGACAGAATTATTGTTTTAAAGAACGGAACTATTCAGGCTGAAGGGTACGATCTTATTGTACATTCTTTCTATTTCTTTTAATTTGTATCTTACATATTTGATATTATAATCTTGCTATAATTTCTAATAAGCTATTATTATGACAATCGTATATTTTACATATATAATCAAATATTTATTTTATTGCTTTTGTCTTATCTTTTACAATTAAAGCCTTGATCTTTTATCGCAATGAGAGGGAAAAAAGATGGATGAGAATATTATTTGTAAACCATAGTAAAAAAATTTCTTTTTGTTAAAGTTTTTTATCAGTAGGTTACAGTATCTATATGTATATAGCTCAGGTATACATACACGCGAGAATATTATACGGAACTAATCATTTTGGAAGAAAAAACAGAAATACGGTTGTTGATGTGGAAAATTCAAATGCTCACTTTGTAATGCCGTGTAACATCTTTCGTTATTTTTAGAAAATTCGCTTGGAAGTTGAAACGAATATTTATATTAATAGTCACTTCTATTGCTTTGTAATATAAAATGCTTTTGTTCATCAGGACTTATGACGAACTGAGCTCTATGAGAGTGAATTTCGGTCGGTTATTAGAAAACCAATGGGAGGCGAATGAGAAATCCTCTCGACCCTCTTTGGCTTCTGTCAGTCGTAGTAATTCGCACACCAGCAGTATCAAATCCTTGAGTTCTTTTATGGCTGATGATACGTCGAAACATGAACCCGATGAAGTAATTTGTACTTATTTCTTAATTGCTTATTTTCTGCAGTAATTACTATGCATTGTTCTTAACTAATATTATGATATAATATTATTTAGAATAATTATATCTTAAATTACAACAAAACATTAATTCAAGTATTTTATCTTTCCTAAGCTTTATTTTAAGATATTTAAAAAAATATTGCCATTGATAATTAATAGGTCGGCAAGAGTGATGAGCTCATTGGAAACTCGTCAGGAATTCGTTAATCCTTAATTAAATAATGGATTTTATGTAACTTTTATTTAGAAGTGCGCATGTACTAATTTCAAATATGCGAACGTTCTTTCTTCTATCATTGGAATAATTTTAAATTTTAACGTTAAATTATAAGTTAAATGTTAATTTCAGGTAGCTGAGATGCGAACAGTAGGAAATGTTTCCAACAGAGTATACACGAAATACTTCTGCGCTGGTGGAAACTTGTGTGTTATATTCATAATGGCGATGCTTTTCATCATTACACAATTAATAGCCAGCAGCGTCGATTACTTTCTTGCCCGATGGGTTGATATGGAAGAACACTTTGTAAGTGTTTATGTACAAATTGCTAAAATAATCGGAGAATTGAGATGTAATCGTTTCTCCAGAAAATTGTAATGGTTATCTTTTCTTGTTCAGTCAGATTGATTTATCGAAATTAAAGAAAAGAGAAATATTAGTTTGGGAAAAAACAATAATCTCTTATCTATTAGCTAATAAGAATTAGTCTCGCTTGACACATTTTAAAGAGTATAATTTTTTTTAAACGTAAACAGAAAGAAGTTTTGTAGAAAAATTGTAGATCTTATTCTACATTAATTATATTTTGTTAATTGTATAATTTTATTACAAATAAAATATAGATGAATCAAACGAACGACGGTGTTGTGGAAGATCCGAGAAGTCCCCTCACCCGCATGCAGTGCATCTACATTTACAGCGGATTGATTGTGCTGACAATCTGCATCTCTTTTATTCGCTCGTGGACCTTCTTCTGGATGTGCATGCGGGCCTCAGTGCGCTTACACGATCGTATGTTCCACAGTATCAGCCGCGCCACTATGCGATTTTTCAATATCAATACGTCGGGACGCATTCTCAATCGTTTCTCCAAGGACATGGGTGGAGTGGACGAGATACTGCCCGCTTTGTGTATAGATAGCATCCAAATCAATCTATGGATGCTGGGTATCATCGTCCTGGTTGCCATCTCAAACGTGTGGCTGCTGATACCCACGGCGTTTATCGGTATTGTCTTTTATTATCTGAGAACCTTCTATCTGGCCACTAGTCGTAGCGTCAAGCGTCTCGAAGGCATTAGTGAGTATCTCATCTTTAACTAGAATAGACACAACTATAATAATTTAATTAATAAGATAAAAAAAATTTCGATCGCAGATTGAAATCAAGTTATCTCATTGAATTGACGATTGCAACTCTTCGGATAAAGAGAGTAAAATTTTCAACTTTCCTCAGCTCGCTCACCGATCTTCGCTCATCTTAATGCGACTCTTGAAGGATTACCGACGGTCCGTGCTTTTGAGGCGGAAACGATCCTCACGAAAGAGTTTGACAATTACCAAGATCTCCATACGTCTGCGACATACATTTTTATCGCAACTACGCGTGCCTTCGGCTTTTGGCTGGATGTTGTCTGCGTTCTATACATTACATTGGTCACGCTGAGCTTCCTTGTGTTGGACAACAATGATCGCGGTTCGATGAACAGCGAATATGTAGGTTTGGCGATCACACAGAGTATCAATATCACCGGTATGTTCCAGTGGGGTATACGCCAAAGTGCTGAGCTGGAGAACCAGATGACCTCTGTGGAACGTATTCTTGAGTACAGGTACTGTATACCTTGGATTATATATACATACATGTATTGTATATATTCACTGTACATTATCTCTATCAACCATTTCATCTTGTTGAAATATAGATTACTTTTTATTTCACATCCCTTTATTTACAATTTTTAAATCTCTATAATAAATTCTTATTAAAGTTAAAGTGACACAAATTTAGTGACGATTTAATAAATCTATTGATTACGAATATTGTACGGCACCTCGACCATTATTTATCAGATTTTTTAAATTTGTAATTCCCTCTAGAAATTTCAAATCTTAGAACGTTATATTTGTAAATTTTCAAATCCTTAATTTAGATACTTTTTGTTACTAAAAATATTTTCCACCTGTTTAGATATTTGAATGTTTTTGTAATGTTGTGAATATAGAATTTTCTAAATCATTCCAATTTCTTTAAACTGTTAACTTTCCGGTGCCAGTCTATATTATTGTATCATATATCTACTATATTCTATTGCAAATGTCACAGAAAATTTAACATTTTGTAACAAACTTCTTTCCCAATCAAAACGCCAGACATCAAGGAATAGTAACAAGTAAACATATGTTATACCTTTAGTAATAAAGGAGTTATATAATATAATATATCAAAATAAAAGAAATTTTACCACACTAGGAATAACACTGAAGTATTAAATATCTTCTCATCAATATTCCCTAATCCCTATTTTGATTCTCCTCCAGCAAAGTAGACAGCGAGCCCCCTCTCGAAAGTGCCCCCGATAAGAAACCTAAGTGTGAGTGGCCGCAGAAAGGCAAGATCGAATTCAAGAACGTGTTTCTGTGCTATACGCCATGTGAGCCACCAGTGCTTAAGAACATCAGTTTTGTCATTTTTCCTCGGGAGAAAATCGGCATTGTCGGCAGGACCGGCGCTGGCAAATCGTCCTTGATCCAAGCGCTCTTTCGCTTGACCAACGTAGATGGTCTGATTGAGATCGACAACGTAGACACAAGTCAGCTCGGCTTGCATGATCTGCGCTCCAAGATCAGCATCATTCCTCAAGAACCATATCTGTTCTCTGGTAGCCTGAGACGGAACCTTGACCCGTTCAATTCGTATAGAGATGAACTGTTGTGGCAGGCCCTCAAGGAGGTCGAGCTGAAGGAGTTAAATTTGGAGACTCATATCAACGAAGGCGGCTCCAATCTCAGCGTCGGCCAGCGACAGTTAGTCTGTTTAGCGCGTGCCATTGTCAGGAACAACCCGATACTCGTGTTGGATGAGGCAACCGCGAATGTAGACCCGCGAACTGACGAGCTCATTCAGACAACAATCAGGAGGAAGTTCAAAAATTGTACGGTGCTGACGATCGCCCATCGGCTCAACACCATCATGGATAGTGATCGTATTCTGGTGATGGATGCTGGCATCGTTGTGGTGAGTCAATTCCTTTATGACCATATCTTTTGTGTATTTTTTGGATAACGTGAATCATCGAATAAATTTAAATAGATCACAAATTCTTTCCTTCTTTCTTTGATTATAAAGAATCAAATTAAGAATTTATTGATTATTCTTGTGACACTTCTTTTATTAAATTATTAAATGTTTTTTTAGATAAAATTTATTTATGATCTTTACAATTTTTTAAAGTAATATAATTATAAGTAAATTTTTTGTATATATGTTCCATAAATCCTACGAATTTTTCTCTTTATCATCCTTGTGCGTATTATTAAAGTACATCATTTATTCGAATAAATCTCTTGTTAGCAAATATACTAATTATATTATATATTGTAGAAAGTGATAGCATTTATTTTTTTTGTTCCAAGATATAAATATTTTTTCAGTAGGAAGAGTTTTTATATATTCTTTCATTATCTGTAGTACACGTTGCGTAAATACAATATTTTATACGCGGCACGTATCAAACTATGAAGTTCTCCAATAGTGCTCGTAACGAGAATAGATCGTTAAATATGGACTTTTATCCTGCACAGGAATTTGATTATCCCCATATACTGCTGCAGAAGGAGACGGGGTATCTGAAGAGTATGGTGCAGGAAACCAGTAAAGAGATGGAGAAGGTTCTAACAGACTCCGCCAGGAATTGTTACCAGAATCGTTCACAACGTTTTGATGTATCATAACATTAACTTTTTGTAATTCTTTCGGACAGACACAGTGATTGATCGCCACAAATGTTCCATTGTTTTTATAAACAATTCTTAAATCTTTGGAATTTAAAAAATGAAAAGTGTAAATAAAATTAATTATTAAAAAATGTAGGAACGTAATAGATTGTTCCCCTCATAAATGTTTTACAGAGCTTCGGGGAGATGTGTAATAAGTACGGATATTTGAAACCGTAGAGTTTTAATGAAAAGAATCAATGGAGTATCTAAGAATTGGTAGGTACATAAATCTCTTTACTTACACCTTTGTGACACATCGAAAAGATTTCAATTTTCTTTAAGTTTATGTCATAATATTTTATTTTTATAAATTATATATTAATTACATATTATATTTTTATAAATTATATTTTACATATACTATACTGTATTGAGAAAGCTCGCTATTAGCATTACTGCGTCATTTAATTTTTATCAGACTATTATTAGACTTTAAAAGGAACAAAATGGCGTTGATAGCACCCACCTTGAACGCAAGAATTGAGTTGCATAAACAAATGATAAAATCTAAAACTTGAGTTTGAAAGAAACGTAACGAGAAGGTCAGCACAAATTATAAAAAGATACAAAAAATTTTGTTAGAAAGTACAAACAAAACATTTTTAATTTCCATCTTAGAAGTGTACACGAAGCGTATCAAAATATTCTGTATATTCTTTGTAGAGTGTTTAGGAAACGTAGATAAAGTTTCAATTAGTAAAGTGTGGGAGAAGTGAATCGAGATACTTCATGCACTCTTTACGGAATATTTTGAAAGCATTGATAAAAAATACGTTTAGATATAAATTACTGATTTTAGATATAAATTACTGAAGTATACCAAAAAGGTATCAAAGTGCTTACACGTTTTGTAGGGCACTTAAGAAACGTTTATAAAATGAATTATTAAAAACAATATTAAATACACAGTATCTTTTTAAGACCGTGGCACAATGAACTATAAATACATAACAAATTAAAAATAAAGTCCTTACTTGGTTAAGCTAGAGAAAGAGAGAGAGAGCTCTTTAGTACTTAAAAACAAGTCTACATTCTTAAATAATTTCATGCTCATATCTATCCATTTCTTCAAATTAACTGCGCACTGAATTGTCAGTTTTGAAACGTAATTCTAAAGAAACTAGAACAGTTTCACAAATTAAATTAAAAAGCAATTTAATAATATTGATGCTATAAGCATCGTAGAAGATGATTAATAATATAATGTTCATAAAGCATCAAACCTGTAAATAATTCCATTGCAAAAAATATTTCCTAGGTCGATGATCGAACTCGGATCTCCTATTTTCCGAGAGTATCTTCACGGTTAGATCATCAATGTAGTAATATTCTTCGTAATAATCAACATAGAAAATGTGTAATTTAAAGGCCACGTGTATGAAAATACTTAATATTTAATTAAATTATGCGGTTTATGGTTGTGTTCAAGGCTCGCGCTATCAGTGTTATTATGTTATTATTTCGTTCTTTTTTTTTACTCTAATTTAAGTATAATAAATGATTAAGTATAATAAAAATAATGAAATTAATTTATGATCATTCAAAGCAGAATAATTATAATTATAATTCATATGAATATATTTTGTCAATTTTATGAACAAAAATTTTTAACTAACAATTCTATATTCAAAACTGTAATAAGTAACTATTAAAATTTTCTAAGTATTAATTTCTAAAAGACCATGACTTGTTTAAATTGAATTTACATATAATTTAATGAGATGTTATAATATAAAAATGAAATGTAGAAACAAATATTAAAAAAAACAAATGTTTTAACCTTTTAAACATCGATTATCAGTGTATCTACTATTTCAACGTCAAATTCGAATAGCAGGATCAAATTAATGTTATAATCACATAAATCTCGCAAATTGGCGGATTCACAGCGCAACAATATGTTTACTAATAACATACACATATATATCCATTTGTAGAGATTTTTAATTGGCAAATCAAGTCCTTTATAATTATACGCAAATATAATTAATATCCATCCATGACGAATTTTAGTAGTTAATCAATCGAGTTTTATTTTAAATTGTACACGTATTATATTGTATTAATCCAGAATATAGTAAAATATTAAACGGCGGTGAGTATAATTTTTTTATATAATATATAAATTAATTTTTTAATCATTCTCTTGTAATGTTTTATTATATTAAAATAAATTTATGTTTGAATAAATTATTTAGTTACCAGAGGATTACAAAGTATTATGATTAGAATGTAATATACCAATTATCTCCAACATAAAAATGCTGATAGCTCTTTTTTTCCTCGATATAAACCATCAGTAGGAGGTGATCATATTTTTGTTATCACGTTGTGTAAATGT